AAAAGTGTCTCATGTCTCAAACTTTTAAAATAAATATAAATTTATTGTTGGGCCCACTGAATTTTTTAAGATTTTTTAATTTTTAGGGTGGTCGGATACTTTTTACCGGGGAGTGTACCATTACAAAATTGGGTGGTTGACGAGTTGCATATTTTTTTGCGAATAACAGATAGACTGTGGGAACTAATGATTTCTGATCTCCGCCGTGAGACTGCAAATGAAGAAATTTGGAAAGGAAAAATTTTATCAGAAATGCAAAGACTTAATATTTCGTTTCAATTTTGGCACGAAAAAAATACAAATAATCTGTCTTATACTTCGTTAATGGGTCCAGACAAATTAAAAGTTCTAAAAGAATTTGACCTTTTTGCTGTATTTCAATCAATAACACGAGCCATACAAATCCGTGCCTTATGGGATCAATTTAATGAACTATATCATCTAATACAAAATAAAAAAACAACTGGTGAATTTTTTCGTTATAAGGCCAAATCTTGGTTAGATGAATTTACAGCTCCTTCTACAGGACATCCAAATAGAGATAATTTTGTTAGAGGCATGTATCGTATTCAGGATATAACACTATATATTCATGTGTTATGCAATCATGTTGCGGAGTTTCTTGAAATTCATCATAAGTTTGGATTGGCAGCATTTTCATGTTCTCCAGTTGAAAAAAAAAATCATATGCAGATATGCCTTTATTTTCAAAACACATTGAAAGATGGAGGGAATAGAAATTCGCGAAAATCAGCAATTTTGGAAATGTTAGAGCATGAAAATCGGCAATTGTACTTTGCATCAAATAGAGTTCCTAATTTTTTTAAAAAATCCAAAAAATACAGACTCGAATAACAGGATTTTATTTGTTATCAAATAAAAAAAAAATGAAAAAACGTATTCAATTGAACTAATTTATCTATATAATTTTTTTTATTATTTGCTATTTACATTATAAGATTTTCTTTAAATTTGACATTGATCTAAAAAAAAACGAAATTGAGCTGAACCTGCTTCAAATTTATGGTTCTCTTTATCTTTACCCCCTGTCACCTTCCATTGAACAGTCATTTCTCCATTAACTAATGATTTTGTTTTAGATTTTTTTGCACTTTGTTCATAATTACTATTTTCAATTTCAGGCATATGCAAACGGACAAAGCTTAATTGCCCTCTTCCATAATTACGTTCTCCCCAATTTTCATCATCCAAGATTTTTCCAACTTCTTCAAAGGCTTTTTCCCCCTTAAAACTACAAAAATAAGAAGACCCACATGGAGAATAACGTGTTATATGATTTTTAAAAATACTAACAAAAGCATCTTCACTGCAATGTATTGAAAATACTTGTTTCCCAACAGCGGTGTGATGATTTTTAAGACGCTTTTGCAACTCTTTGATTATAGCTTTTTTTAAATGTGAAAGTTCGGAGTTTGGAACTGACCGAACGTGTGACGGAAGTGTATTGTAGGACGCATGTTTTAGTGTTTCATGTCGTTGAAGTCCTGAGCGATTTTTAAATCCTTTTGCACGCCTTTTGCAAATAGAGCAATATAACTTAGTTGAATCTTGAGTAGACATGACTTAAAAAAGAGAAATCTGTAAGCAAACAGTAGCTAAAAAAAAAAATAGAGAAAACTAATAAAATAAATTCATAAATTTAAAGAAAAATCAGCTGGTTTTAGCTGAAATATATACCAAGGTTCGTCGGATGGGTTGTGTAGTGGTCGGATGGGTTGAACGCGTTTTTTTCGTTAAGTTATTTTTGTTTAACGATTAGTTGGACGGAAAATTTTTTTATTTAATAAAATCTATATATTCACATGACATAATATCACATGAATGCCGAACACATTAGTATTATGTAATAGGACAGATAAGGCAATTATATCAATTAAATTTAAATGAACTAAACTCGCCCATATGTAGTAACGGTAATGTTCGTTAATATTGATATAAATAAACAAAAAGAAAAAAAATTTTTTTTTTTCTTACTTGCTAGTATTCCACATCCAGAAAGACTTAAAAATGTCTAAAAAAGAAAATAAATGAACAGTTAGTAATGTTCGTTAATATAAACAAACAAAAAGAAAAAAAATTTTTTTTTTTTCTTACTTGCTGGTATTCCATGTTCAGAAAGACTCAAAAATGCCTAAAAAAAGTTAATAAACAAACAGTTAGTAATGTTTGTTAATATATAAAAAAATTGAAAAAATTATTTTATTTTACTTGCCAAATATCCTGTTTGAAAACCCAAAATTCCAGTCATCTAAAAAAAATAATTAATTATATTTTAAGTATAAAGGCTTTTCATAGGATTGCTTAAACTTCTCTAAAATCCTATGATTAGTTTCTTTAAAATTTTACTATAGTTTTATTACAGTTTTAGTAAGATTTTGTCAGTTTTAGTATTTATAATAAGTTTTATCAAGTTTTGCTTTTTTTCAAAGTTTGCCAACTTTTTAATAAAACTTTCATATAGTTTCAGTAAAGTTTCACTATTTTAGTATTTTGCCAATTTGCTAAAACTTTTTAATTTCTTCAGCAACCTTAATTTGGTTATCTGTTCAATCTGTTATTTTATCTGATTATGTAATATCAAACACAGTATACAGATAATTTTCTTATTTAGTAATAGATTTTCTAAAAATATATCTTACCAATTTTGGAATTTATATAACATTTGACCTAAAAAGGAAATAATTAATATAAATTCTTACTAGAGCTTATCTTTAACTTTATTAATATAAATTTTTACATATCAAAAATAATTTTATACATTTTGGCAATTTTGTTATATCAAAATATTTTGGCATTTTATCAATTTCATCAATTTCAGAAATTTTGTCATATCAAAATTATTTTAGCATTTTATTAATTTTATTAATTTTAGAAATTTTGTCATATTAAAATTATTTTGATATTTCATTAATTTTAACAGGTTTTTTTTTCATTTTATCACAGCTTAATAGAATTTTGGTAAGCATTTTTATTTGTAAATAACATATTATAATTAATAATATAATAAATATTATAATTTGTCTTTTTTCTACTTATGACATGGTCACATTACTATATTTTTTTATTTTGTTTTTTTAGTAACTTTTACTCTGTTTTTATTTAAATAAATAATACATTTTTTATTATATTACTTCTAATTATCAAATAAATCATCATTTAAGATTTTTCATAATTTAAACTAAAAAGTTTCATCATGTCACATAAAATACTTTTTGCTCAATTAATGATATCAGAATATAATATAAAGAATATTATGACAGTATAGTATAATAATTTTAATAAAGGTTATATAATCAATTTTATTTTATGGTACGTAGATATACAGTCTGTAACAATTCATGATATAATAAATTGATATATTAAACATTATATAAACTTTATATAAAATATACTGAACTTTTATTGATTTACTGCTACATGATTTGCCAATTTCGCCTGAAATTAAGCCAGAATTAGAACCACTTAATTTTGCCTAAATTAATTGATGCCAAATCATCTTAATTCTGGCCGAAATTGGGATATTAATCACGTGATTTTCTTAACTTTCCCTAAAGGGGTTCGGTATATAAAAAAATTTTCTTTACCGAACTCTATTATATACCGAACTTTTACTCCCAAACCGTGGGTTCGGTATATCGAGATTTGATGTATATTGTCCTTCGCTTCGCTCCAGACAATTATTATTGTTGAACATACTTGTAGCCAAAAGTATTTTTGCTAACATGTAAAGTATGTATTTTGCATATTCGTTTTACATAAACTTAAAGGAGGTTATCATTTACATGTAATATAAATTTTTACATAAACTTAATTATTATTTAGTATAATGATTAAAATAAATAATTTTATCCTTTATTTTGTTAATTATTAATCCTCTTCCATAAAGTTTTGTTCTAAAGGACCTAATAAATCCATAGAGTGTAATGAATAATCAACAATGTAAGAATCTGTAATTAACCTATCCAAACGTTGATAATGTCTTTCCGTATATGATAATATTCCATCCAATATCTATAATTTAAGCAAGAAATTAATTCTAAGTTTCTAAAAAACAAGAACTAAACCATACTCTAACTTAGGTTGGAAATGATTTTACTTACATCTTTAATTCCATTAATTTCCAATAAATCTTGTGATGAAAAAGATTTGACGATAGCATGTAAAATAGTTTGAGATGTACGATAATTTTTTGCATTTGTATTCCAATCTCGAATATATTTTAGTACTTGTTCTAGATTTTCTTTTGAAAGTGTTGCAATTATGTTATCGATTGATTCAGATCCTGTAATACTCTTATCTCCTAAAAATGTAATATGATACATGTTCTTTTAAATATCCATATGATATCAAAAGATGTTTGCGATTACAACTTACCTTCAGCTCTGTTATTAAGAACTTCGGTAAACAGATTTAAAAGTCTAAATGGTTGATTCAATGATATGGCAAGCATAATCGCGTTCTTATAATCTTTCTTTAACAAATAATTTGACAAATCTTGTTCCCTAAATGCAAAATATATTAGTAAGAATGCGTTATAGGATATTTCTCTTTAAGGATATTTATAATTTTACTCACTTTAAAATTAATTCTTCCTCTTCCTTAACACGGGCTTCCATTTCTTCAATAGTACAATCTTGCCATAAATTTATTAAAGAATCACCACCACCCGAAGCAACAAAATTTTCATCTTTTCGTATAGTTAATGCCCAAATTTTTTCTGTATGATTATCTAATGTAGTTACACATTCATTTGATTTACAATTCCATAATTTAATCAAACCGTCGGATCCACTTGATATGAGTTGTAAACCTGAAGTTATAAATGAGACTCTTAACACTGTATTTGTGTGTCCTTCAAATGTCTGAATTTAAAAAGGGAGTAAAGATTTTAAATAGTCATGTTTGCTTTAAAAGTTCACTTTTGGATTGGTTTACTCACTTTCAAACAAGAAAAATCATTTGTTGACCAAATTTTGATGGTTTTATCACCGGAACTTGATACGATAGTATAATCAACTGGCGAGAATTGTACACACCAAACACCTCTTTTATGTCCCGTACAAGTTCCCAATAATTTTCCATCAGAAACCGACCAAATTTTAATAGTTTTGTCTTGTGATCCTGTTGCGAACATTTTATCATTTGATGAAATAGATATTGAATTTATATCTTTTTCATGTGCTTGATGTGTATATAATGCTTTTGGTCTATACTCTTCTTCGCACTTTGACAGATCTACAATAGAATAGTGTGAAAATACACTTAATTTCAAAAAAAAAAATTTGATTAACAAAATTTAATCTTACCTGCTTGAGATAGGTCCCAATATTTTACAGTCCGATCTTGACTTCCAGTTATACAAAACTTTAAACTTTTATTAGGTAAAGCAACAGCTCCAATAGCTTCAGTATGTCCAACACAAATTCCACTTCCTTTAATTCTTTCCTCCGCTTCATATGATTCAACATTAATTTTCCATAATCTTGCAGTATTATCTTTTGATCCTGATATTAAAAATTTTCCATCAAAAGATTTTGCTAAACAAATCACAATATCTTTATGACCATAAATAATATTATTATCAAATGAATCTATATTAAATAAACGAATTTGTTCTGTATTCGTTGCTATAGCCAAATGTGATTCTGTTGGACCTACATAGACGAGATCTATTATTTCATCATTATGGCCTACAATTTGTTTTATTCTTTTTAAACCGGAAGATATATTATAAAATAGTATATTTTGGTCCGTAGTTATGGCTACCAAACAATTGCTTTTGCGAAGATATCTAAAGGAATTTAGATTACAAAAAAGTAAATTAAATATTTTTGAGGAAAAAAGACTTTTTATTTGAAAATTTTACATACATGATGTCTGAAATACCATATTTCGCGTTCTTTTCGGGATCCTGTGCTTTAACAAGTTTGCCACTTTGAAGATCCCATATTCTTATAATTCCTAACAATCAAAATTAAATAAGTACAAAAGTCGGGTTGAATTAAATAAATTTATAATTAATTTACCATTATCGCCACCAGTATAAAATAATTCTCTACCAATACTATTTTCAATTTCGGATATGAAAGTATCAGGATTTAATATTCCTATTGTCTCAATTGTCTAAAAATGAAAAAAAAAAATTATAATTTACGAGCTAAATTTTCTTTAAAAATAGTTAGATTATAATACCTCATATATGGGAAATGTTTTAATCAATTTGTTCTTATTCAAATCCCAAAGATTTACAACTTTATCTCTTGATCCGCTTATTAAATATTTGCCATCATTAGATACGCCTAATCCACGAATTATACTGACGTGACTTTTCAATACAGCCACACAACTAAACAATCAAAGAAAAATGAATCAAAAGTAGATTCTTCCTGATCAAAATTTCAAATTTGCAAAAAATAACTCACTTTCTTTTCGACAAATCCCATATACGAATATTACAATCATCGGCACCAGAAATTAACATCCATTTAGAATCATCTTTCCAAAATTTTAATGAACTTATAATTCCCCCATGTCCACGAAAATTATGTGTACAATACCCTCTCTCTATATCCCATATTTTTATTGTACTATCAGCTGATCCTGTTGCAACTAAAGTTGATGATTCATCAACATCCATTACAATTACAGGTGCTTCATGTGCCTAACCATCCCACATTAAATATAAGTTAAATAATGATAAACCAAAAATTGTTGATGTAGAAATTACCTTGAATGATCTCATGCATTTTCCTGTTTTCAAGTCCCATGTTTTAACTGTAAGGCTACGTGATGAACTTATTAAATATTTCCCATTTGGTGTTATAATAAAGGTTGTAATGATTTCAGTATCCTAAACAATTAATTAAAAATGATTTTAAATTAACAGGATGATTCCATAATTAATTATGATAAGTTACATACACCATTTAATCGGAACAATATTTTTCCATTTTGAATATCAGTAACGTCAATATCTTCTCCAATTGTCGTAATCAAATGTTGTTCATCGGGTGTAATCGATGCCTTACCGCCAGTAAATAGCGATCCAATCGCTAACGTAGACTTAAAACTAATTTTATGTTGCGGTTTTATAGGTGTGTCAGGCATTTTTGGCATTTTTGATAAAAAATTAAAAAAAAATAATCAATCTTATCGTGACAGATATTAGCATGATTACGTCGCATCTTAGTTACACTTGGTTGTTACACTATGAAATACAAACGCGTTATAACGTGTTTTTATTTTGCGTGCGCGATAAATACAGTATATAAGCCATATTTTTTTTTTAAACTCATCCATCTCAAAGATCACTCTTTCCACACAATAATAATGGCTAAAACAAAGAAAGTATTTGGTGGTATGTATCAACTCCGTATACTGTATTTAAATCATATTATTGGAATTATCTTATTGAAAATTTTTTCTTTTGTTTTTAGGTAGAAATAAAATCACACCTTACAATAAGTTTATGAAAACCGAACTCCCAAAAGTAAAGATTGACAACCCAAAGATTAGTCATAAAGAAGCCTTCAAATTAGTTGCTCAAAGATGGAAAGATTCACCTGAAAATCCGAAGAACGTTCAAGAACCGCCGGCTGAATAACTTTGTCTTTACAAAATATTTCTTCTTTACGCTTAATATAATAATATTATGATCTTTTTGTAATTGTCATTTTTTTACTTTGATTTAGTTTCTACGAATAACATAATCTTATTTTTACCTCGTTTTTTTTTCTACGAACATAATCGTGTTATTTTTTACTTTATTTTTATCCTCTACGAATATCATAATAGTATCATTTTTTACTATGTCTTAGGTATATCAAATAAATCGTCACATTTAAAATTTTTTTTGTTACGTCGCATAAAATCGTGAAAATATGCAAAACTTTCCACTTAAGAGGTCTTTAATAATTAAATATAGTTATAATTAAATATAGTTACAATATTTGAGGAAATAAAGAAGATACAAATTCAAGCATATTTGTTTGTTGTATAATAATAATATTCAATTATTCATCATTATTTTTATTGCTTTTCTTTCCTGTCTTTTATTCTAATCATTAAATCATCACAAGATTTAACAATGGAATAATGATATTTAACAGGTTCATTAATATTTACCAGTTCCACATCATATTTCCTATACAACAAAACCATCAAAGCTTTCAATTCGGTCATAGCTAAATTCTTACCCTATAAAATAAAAAAGAATCATTTTTTTATTCTTGTAGATTAAAAGAAAAAAAAATCAAAGAATTACCGGACACATCCTTAGTCCTCCGCCAAAAATCAGCAGAGAGTTCTTTGCTATTTTGTTACCACCTGGAACGCCTTGATTCAGAAATCGTGAAGGATCGAATTTTTCAGGATCCTTCCAATGTGACGGGTGTGTATGAATTACATGCGTGTTAACATTAATTTGCGTTCCTGCTGGAAAACTATATTTTACTATCTCATCTGCCTTTATTGACATCCTAAATATCACTGGCACAATTGACATAAGCCGAGAAACTTTTAAAAAAAATGTGAGATTATTAAAAAATAATTGAGATTAAAAAAATATATATATTACTAATAATTGTGAGAATACCTTCTTTAATGATAGCGTCACAATAAACTAATTTATTCAAATCTTCATGTTCGATTGGACGACTTAAATCATCTCTGAAGACAGAATTGAATTCTTGAAGCATTTTTTCCTTGACATCAGGATAATGGCCAAGATGATATACAATAAAGCAAAATGTATTTGCTGTCTAAAGAAAAGAAAATATATATATATATAATTTTTTTTATAAAGTTTCCAAGAAAATTAAAAATCAACTTTCAATGATTAGACATACAGTATCAACTCCAGCACTAATAACTTCTAAGATATTTCCACGGACTTCTTCATCAGACAGGGGTCTTGTATGGTGTTCATCTGCAAGTTTAGCTGTAACATCTCTTGGTGTATTTACAGTTAACAACATTGACAACATATCAGGTATCAATTGCTCATCTTCCGGTGTCATTTCAATTTCTTTTCTTCTCTGTTTAACCAATTCCATAAAAGTATTATTCAATCGATCAACCTCACTTTTTAAATATTCAGATCTTTTTTTAAAACTAGGAATATATTTTCTCCATAATGAAGGTGTATCCATAAAAAATTGCAAAGCATGAAGCCATGAACGAATATTTTTAATAAGATTTTCTGATTCAACCATTTCAATTTCTGAATGTTGTTTTGTTTTTGTATTAGACAATTGATTAAAATAATTAGCAAATGAATAAGCTCTTTTATTCGTTGTCAAAGTGAAAATAACATCTGTTGTAAATCTTATCATCCATTCTGATATATTAAGTGTAAATTCTTTGCCACTTGTGTTCTCTGTCTGAAATTTTAATTCCCGCCAATAATCTTCCATCTCTTCGAATAAGTTTTGTGTCCAAATAACATTTTGTTTCATAAAACTCAACGAACTAATTGCCTGATTAAAGAACTTTCTATTAAACGTCCAACTATCTAAACTTCTATTGAACGTAATTCCTTTCGTAGTAACATCAATTTCATCTAATCCTTCTCTGTGTGTTATTCTTATTAAATAATTATTATTTAATGAGGGTCTAAATATCTTTTCTACTAAATCAGCTCTGGATATCCATATATGTCGTTCGCCACCCATGTATATTTCACAAATATCTCCATATTCCTCATGAAGACGCTTTGCCCATGTTGCTGGATGTCCTCTATACTGTAAACGATTGCCCACAAATGGGAGAGGAAAAGGTCCTGGCAACGGCCTGTATCTAGAAAAATATTTAAAATAATAGAATGCTAAATAAAACGTGAAGATAGCTAATGCATATCCTATTATGTTCCAAAACAAAAATTTTATTATATCAATAAATGACATCTTAAAAATGTTCGTTAAAAGAATGTAAAATAACAAAACTTTGATTGAAATGAGTTTATCAATCTACAACGTGCATGACCAAAATTGGCATAAGCTCGCGACTTTTTAAGTATACGATCAATTTACTTTTTAGCATACTACTACATCATTATATGTCATATCGTAACTTGAACGAGTTTATTGCATTTTAGGTTGATATTTGTTAAAATTACTCGATAAAATAAATAATTGATAATCTTTTAAAATAAGTTACTGAAGTTACTGACCGCATAAATTAAATAATTAAAACCCTCCAAATCTACGAAATTTCAATTTTACCACAAAACTAGATAACAATCTATATCCGAAATAAGTTAAATTCATATACCAACTTTCTTTACCAACATTAAAAAACTTTCTTCTTTCAGTTACTAATCCGTTTACTTCATCATATTCCTCTTGTTCATTTTCGAATTTTTTAAAGAAATCTACAAAAAATTTAGGTTTATCAGTCATTATGGCATCAACTCCCCAATTATGACAGTTTTTGGCATGCTCTTCCTTGTTAACAGTCCATACAAATACTGGTTTTCCTTTAGTATGAGCTTCTTTAATAAAATTTTGAGCTTCATATCCAGATAGTGCAATATAATTCAAATTATAACCATCTGCATCACTAAAATAATCTCTTGCTATTTCCAACGAAACACCTATATGTACTATTGGAATCTCTGGTAAATGAGTTTTTGCGTATGAAATAAATTTTGGATGCCATATTCCTAATGTAATTCGTTTGGAAAATACAGATAAATCTTCATTGTATGATTTAAGAATTTTGCTTAAAGTCACAAGAATTTCAGGTGAGTTATGCATTTTGATATCAATTACTGCCCAAACATGAGAATTCTCGGTTTTGAGAAGAAGGTCAAGGACATCTTGAAATCGAGAAATAGGACAACGTGGTTCTTTTTGTGTAGTGAGAAATTCAATGTCTCCAAAATAATTCCTGTCAGATATCATTCCCTTGCCCGTGGTTGTGCGATCCAATGAAGGGTCATGCATTATAACAAGCTCGTTATCAAGTGTTGGGTGAATATCTAATTGATAATAAAAAAAAATTAATTTATTGATGATTGAAATTGAAATAATTGCAAAATGGCTTTACCAAATTCAATAGCATTAGCACCATCTGCAATAGCTTGTCCGATAGATAAAACGGTATTTTCAGGGTATTTAGCACTTGCACCCCTGTGACCTACAACAAGTGGTCTGGTTTTTGACATCCCATAATCACATCTTCCTGGAATAACAGCTTTATCCAAAAAAAAAAAAAAAGCATGGGTTTATTAAACAATATGAACCATAACTAGCTATTATGTTGATAATTACATTGTGCTACATTATAATAATAATAAAAATTATCATTACAAAAAAAAGGCATAAACTTACATTCCATATTCATTATATTTACTACAGAAGAAAAAAAGTGTTTTGGGGCATTATATATTTATATTAAAGTAAATGATGGGTAAAACATGCAACGGCAAAACAAAAATTGTTCATAATTGCCGAGTGCCGAGCTGAACCAAAGATCAACAACAAAAAAAGTTAGCCTTTATAAATATTTTATTATAAAAAAATTGCAAATCCATAAATTTGGTTACAAATTATATTAAGAACTTCAGATCATCAAGAGTTGAACAGGGATTCGGGATAACAATCAGGGCCGATGGACTTTCTTTACAAAGAAAGTCAATTATAAATTTCATTTTGATTATTATATCGAGCGAATTCAAATAAAAAATGAGATTTAGCTTGATTAAGTTAATTTTTCAAATGTTTGAATCACGAGTTCAATTTTACCAAACTAAATTAAGAAAGGTTAAAAATTTATTATAAAAGCCAACTCCTAAAAAAACAAAAAATTAAAAATTGATTTTCCCAGTCATGACATTAATTAAAGAATTCATTTTTGATCCACCAAATTTTCTTTATTTAATCTTTATCTTTGTTTTAACTTACATATCACAATTTTATTTTCGTTACTTTACAAGACAACATCCAATCCCAGGTCCGATCCCCTTTCCATTAATAGGAAATTTTGAAACTTATCATCCGAATTCATCGCAATGGGCAAGAGAACTCCAAAAAAAGTATGGTGATATTTTTGAGGTTTATTCAGGAGGTTTATTCACTTTAAATAATAGACAAATCTGGATTTCGAATGCAAGTCTTACAGATAAACTACTTTCTCCATATACAAATAATAATTTTCCTTATCGTACAACCGAAAATGAAGGATTGGATAAAATGGATATGACAAGTAAAGGAATAGTATTTAATAGAAATGTAAATAGTTGGGCATATAATAGAAGAATTGTGGTGCAAGTGTTAATGGCACCTAAGTTTTTAAAGACAGCTGTAAAAAATACAGAAGAATTATTTTTTGAAATGGAAAAGCATTGGGAAAAACTTGGTTATCTAAATGACGCAAAAGAACAAGAGATTGAACTTGATTTGGCAAATTGGATGAGGAGATTTATGACTGATTCCGTTTTTAATCTAACTACAAATACAAAATCTTATGCTTTGCTTAATTATTTTAACACTTTCAATACCTTGAATAAAGATGAAAGAGAAAGTAATAATGATCATTTTTTAAGAGAATCAGAAAAATTTGTAAACTATATTAGATTACATTTCGTTGCTTGTATTTTCTTTAAGGATACCCCAAAGATATTAAGAACAATTCTTCCAGCAAATAGAAAAAAATCAAGAGAATTGTTGGATGTTGTGGCGTGGTTAAATAGTAAAGTGTTGGAACTAATTAGAGAAAGAAAAAAAGAAATTGAGAAAGCCGATCCAGATGAAGAATTAAGTGCTGATATGTTAACTTTATTATTAACAATTAATACAAATCGAGATCCTAAATATGTAAAAACAACCGATAAAGATAATTTGATTGACGCTAGACCTATGAGTGAAGATGAAGTTCGTGAAAATGTTTATGAAATCATGGGAGGCGGAATTGATACGGTATGTAAATATATATTTGAAAAAAAAAATTTTTTACAGTTAATTTATTAGTCTAAATTTTACTTTTTAGACCGCAAATACATTTTGTTACGTAGTTTACTATCTTACACATTATCCTGAAGTTAGACAAAAAATGTTACAAGAAATGGAAAAGATTCTTGGTAAAGATATGAATCGTGAAATTACATATGAAGATTTAAATAAGTTGAATTATTGCGGAGCAATCATCAAAGAAGGTGACTAAAATTTTTTCGTCTTGTTTGAAATTTTTCTTTATACTAAAATTTTAAACAATGTTTATATCAAATTTTTTTAGTTTCGCGTTTAATGCCAACGGTTTCGGTTTTATTTCGCGTATCAGCAAAACCTGATGAAATCGCAGGTTATAAATTTCTTGCAAATACGCAATTCTTTATAAATGTACCTGCTATACAAATGCACCCTTCTCATTGGAACCAACCAGAAAAATTCGATCCTGATCGTTTTATGGATAGTGAACAACAAATTCCAAAGAACGCCTTACTTCATTTTGGTGGAGGCGCGAGAGTTTGTATGGGCAAACAACTGGCAATATTACAGTTGAAAGCATTGATGGTTTTATTATATAGAAAATATGATGTGGAATTGATGGACATGAGCGGAGGTATAAAGTATTCTTCAACGGTTGTGAATCATTGCGAAGAATTGCCTGTAAAAATAAAAGTAAAACATTCCGCTTAAGAAATAACGTATTTTCTAATAACGTGCCAACGTAAAAAATAAATTTCATCTATTTATTTTATTTATTTGTAAATTGTATATCATATTACAACCTTTTAAATATATCAATGATTTATCAAATTTGTACATTTTCATCATTTTTACCCATCACAATCTTTTTGATGCTTCCTTAATAAAATAAAGCATCTAATTTCTTCAATCCTTTCCGATAAAATTGTTCGCTTATAAATATTTTCATGAGATTTTCAAGAAACTCTTTTTCTGCATTTAGGTGCATCACAATTATGTCATATGATATTTTAAATGATGTGCACGAATACATTGTATAGCTTTTCTTCAGAGTAAATTTTCTTATGATTTTTTAATTATACGATCGAGTAAAGCCTTTCTACATTCATTACTTTGTATGGACGTTCACCAGTATGAGTTGATTGATTTCTCTTGTGATCTCTTAAATGATTGGATTGGGCATATTTCTTTTCGCATCCAGGCTCATCACATTCATTGGTTTTTCGCCAGTATGAGTTTTCATATAACGGGATAAATTATAAACTTTGGTAAAACTATTAGTAAGACATTTCTCATCATCGTGAGATTTTATATAACTTTTTAAAGCAGTAGCTCGAGAATATATCTTTTTACAGCCAGGTTGATTACACGTATAACATTTTTTTCAGCATGACCTTTAATATGGCGAGTAAAATGATCGGATTGAGTAAAAACTTTTTCCAAATCCTGGTTCATTACATTTATATGGACGTTCGCCGGTATGAGTTCTGCTAAATGAACAGATCGGGCATATCTTTTTTCACAGCCAGGAAAACCGCAAGCGTATCGTTCTCCAGTATGTATTCTCATATGATCTGATAAATGACTAGATCGAGCATAAGTCTTTCCACAATCTAGTTCTTACATTTATATGACTTTTCGCCAGTATAAGTTCTCATGTGAATTTTTAAATTGCTTTGTTGTGAGAATCGTTTTCCGCATTTAGGATCACTGCATAAATAACGCTTCTCTTTTTAAAATAAGGATTTTGAAGAAAATTTTCTTCTACAACCAACTTGCCCGCATTCATAGGCTTTTTGTTATATAATATACAAGCGTGATTTTTTGTACCAACGTTATCATCCACATTTTTATTATATTCGATATCAGAATCACCAGATTCTGTTTAGTTTCAACTTCGGAGACACTATTATTTATTATAAACGATTCTTTTCTCATCTGATAAAGAATCAAGAAAGTCAATACTTAAAATATTTAACAAAAAATAAAAATTTTTTTTTTATTTTTACTTACATAATCATTATGATATAATGTAGATGATGTAGATGATGAATTATTTAACACGTCCATTTCATTAGATGTTGTACTATTAATTCACACATTACATTTGCATGGAAGTTCACCAGTATGACTTATCATGTGATGTTGTAAATGACCTCCATTGTGTATAATTCTTTTCACATCCTGGTTCTTTACATTTATACGGATGTTCACCTTTTTTTTATGACGAGCCAATATATTCGATCGTATAAATTGAGCTGATATAAAAGTTTTTTCGTAATCAGGTTCGTTACATTTATTGACCTTTTAAATCAACAAAACACTTTTACATTCAGGTTCATCACATGCAAAAGGTTATCTCATGAATATAATTTTTGATGATTCTGAAGAAGATTTTAAAGATAATGTTCTACCACAACCTTCTTGATCGCATTTATATTTATGCTTTAGTGATCTTCGATTTTTTTGTTTATAGTGCAAGAAGCATAAAATAAATTTCACTTATAATATGGTTGTCGTAATCATTTATGTAAATATCACATGCATCATCACTCTTGCTATTCACGTCTTCATTCACGCCTATTTCTTCATCTTCTTCTTCACTAAATTCGGTAAGAATTTTCATTAAAATAATGATAATAATTATTATAAAAGAATGAGATAATTTATTAATATATAATATACTATACAGTATATATAATTTTTATATTATTATTTATTTACGTTGTTTATTTTGTAAATATAAATAATTAATATAATTAATTATACCTGAAGGAAAGGATTTAATTATTAAAAGAGCGTAAAAATCTTTAATAGAATAACTCGACAAAAAACAATAAAAGTTTAAAAAACATTTTTTAAAACCTTTTTGATTCTAATGTTTATTTACCAATTGTAGACTTTTGATACGAGATCAAAATTCTAAAACTAATTCAGTCACATGATCAATGTCGTACTCACCAAAAAAACGATACTGTAAATCTATTCAATGAATATGAGTCTTCATGTGCTCTTTTAAAGGAGTATTATATGCAAATCTCTTTTCACATCCCGGTTCACTACATTTATATGGACGTTCCCCAGTATGAGATCTCATATGAACTTTCAAATTATAAAATTGCGCGAAACTTTTTTCACAACCAGGTTCTTTACATTGGTAAGGACGTTCCCCGGAATGAGTTCTCTTATGACGCGAACAATGACTGGACATCGCAAAAGACATTCCACAACCTGGTTCGGGGCATATGTAAGGACGTTCGCCAGTATGAGTTCTCGTATGATATGTTAAATTATAAGATTGCGTAAAACTCTTTCCACATCCAGGTTCCTTACATTCGTATGGTCGTTCACCCGTATGGTACCTCATATGAATAACTAATTTATTCTTTCGAACAAAAGCTTTTTCACATCCAGAAAAGTTACATTTGAATTTCTTGTTATTTAATTGATTAGACTTTGGAGATTCTTCGATTTTCGTTTCTTTCGTTTTTTTGATGATATTACTTTCGATAGTTTTAAGAACGAGTTCAGATCTTACAGTTCTAGCGTAATTATCAACTTTATCATAAAATTTCTCGTCATCGTCAGATTCCTCATTATCATTTTTAATATTCTCATCGTTAATTTTCATGTCGATATTCGTCTTTTTTTAGAAAAAAAATTTTTTTTCAATATTATATTAATAAATACAGAGTATATATATATATATGCTTATTTATTTTATTTTTGATAAATACAAAAAAAAACCTATCGGTTCACTTTTAACTTTCTTACATCATCTTTTTCTTTATAGAAAGTTTCAAATTCTGAATTCATCGTTTGAAAGGAGAAATATTATATAACGCGTTGTATCAAAACGTAACTTTTTTTTTATATCCGAAATTTGGATCTAAAAAAAAGTTGGCAACTAACTTTTTTAAATCATTTGACATGAGACGAGAGTCTAAATCGAGAAACTATTGAATCATTTTATTTTAATTGTCGTAAATTGATTACAAGAAAATCATTTTAAAGCTTCTTTTAATGTATAGATTATTAATATAATATTTACGACGCGTTTAAAGTCAAAAAAGAAAAGAAAAATCGTTAAAATATAAAGAAAGAGAGATATTTGAGGGGAAAAAAAAAAAATTTCTTAACAAATACATTTTACGCGAAAAATAAAAAAAAAACGATTTTTTTTCTAAAAGAGAGAACGATTCCATTTATTTTTTCCCAGTATTTTTAATAATTTCATTGTTTTTCGCTGCAGCATTATGAGATGCTTTAGAGGTGCCACCTCCCTTGCTATTTTCGGTCGTTTTATTATAAGCTGGAGAGTTCTTATTAAAAGCATTCGATCGGTCATTGGCAGATTTTTTTGCATAACTAACGCTTTTTCCACTATTTGACTTACTCATTGTCTAATTCATTAAAAATAAAAAAAAAGGTGTATAAAGTTATAAACACGCAAAATATACACCGGCTCTCTCAAACACGAAAATACAAGATAAATAACTTTAAAAAGTACAACTTATAAAAAAATTAGAGAGACGAGAGGAAACGGGATGCACGAGAGATAATACTATTTGTTATCAAATAAAAAAGCGAAAAAATTATTATTTTTTAATGCCAAAAAAAAACGAGAATTTAAATATTTTGATAAAGCCTTAGAATAATATTATTTATTAACAATTGTGGGAAGAAAATTTCAATAATATTGTGACTGATATCGCGATGAGAAGAAGGTACTGTTTACGTGAGAATTAAAGAGGATTATTTAATTTGCATTATGGGAAAAAGTCATGATAAGATTAAAGTTACGCCAATTATCTGACAGTTAGACCTAATGCCTTATGATTGTTTAAAAAAAGACAATATTAATAACAAATATTTGATTTGTTATATCAATCAAAATTATGTAATTATAATAAACTGGATTTTATTGAAGCCGAAGAGAGAAAGGCGATGACTGGTGATTTAGACGTAATAATGACGTAAATTACTTATTATTCTTATTATTTAATGTAATCAGTGTGATCAATATCACAAAACAACTTCGGAGCCATAATTTTTGACCTAGACCAAATCGGCGGTTTGGATACAAACGTCTGTGAACTTTTTCTTTTTAGTTTAGACCTTTGCATCAGTTCGGCTCCAATCCAAACTGACAAGTGATAAACGACATAAGAAATTATGTCATGTGATTTGTAATCCTAGTTAAATTAACTTTTATCCCCTACTTTATCATATTGGAATGCCTTGCATTATCTGGTTAAACTATCAAATAGAATTCTGACCTACTTTATCATATTGCAGTCTTTTTAAATGTTCAGCATTATCAATTTTAATACTGTATTGTGTGGCATGAACTAAAATATTTTCTTGGAATTATTCTTTAAGCAATAACCATTATTAGAAATAACCTTTTTTTTCAGAACATCTTTTTTAAGTATTTCTCGAATCTCGACTAAATATTTTATCAGGATTTTAAAGTTAGGACTTGAAATGAATAATAAATAAAATGATAACATCGTGAAATCTAAAATATATTCGCGCAACAAAAGTGACAAATATAATTTGCCATTCTTTTATTCTACTATTGATTCGTTTTTCAAAATTCCTGTGATTCTAATTGACAAGTAACAATGAATAAACTTTATGGACCGGTACGTACACCGTACACCGACTACATCGTGTACTGACTGTACCGTGTATGCGCGTTGTAGTAACACTACGCACATTGCTGCATAAACCGACCGTCTGATGTCTGTCATTCACTGACTCGCTTGGAATGTCTATTGTAAAATGGTTTTTTTATTTTTGATTATAAATCCTTTTAGGTAACTCGTAATATATTCTCACATAATACTCATTATACTACCACTTAAGTACGTTAATGCTATGGCGTAAATATACTTTTAAAAAATATCCTATTTGTGCATCATTGATGCTTAACAGAGTAATGGCTAATTAGTTCATTTCTTTCATATGGCGTTGTTCCGATTTACTTATCGAAAAGTAAACAAAGGTATCATTTTTTATTATTTTATGAAACAAAGAAAGAAAAAGAAAAAGAAAAAAATTCCTTTAACGTTATAATAAAAGATTTTTATGAACTTGATAATGATCGTTGTTCAAAGAAGGCAAACAAAACAAAAAAGATGTCACATCGGAATTTATTATCCGTATGGTTATTAAGGTTATTAAGGGTTAAATTATAATGACTATCATAACCAAAATACGATTTTCCCTGATTTTCCGTGATTTTCCCTGATTCTATTTTTTAATTTTAATATATATAAATATATTTTTTTGATCGAATAAGTTATTAATAAATTTTCGTTTATCATTTCATTGTTAAATTACGAAATCTTTCTATTTATATAAAAAAAAGGGAATTAATTTCCGTTTTATACTACGGATTGTGTCTAAAATCATTCCTTTATAAAGCTAAATAAGGGCCGATATTTCATAAGCTCTTCCGTCCGTGTTACTATCGGAGTCAAAATAACAAAATAACTCTTTAAGCTAAACTTTTTTTGTTTAAATGTGTGGATCCTTAGGTACATAACATTGGCACAATTCCTTAAAAATCAACCCTTTCTTTCTATCTAAACATTCTTTTTTTTTTTTTTTTTTTTTTTTTTTTACTTTAAAAAAAAAAAGTTTATAAATAATTTACATACTCTCATATTTTTTCTTTTTTTTTTTCTTTATTGTTTCAAATAAAATACTTCAATGAACCCTGAAAAGAAAAAATTAATGTAAATTNTATATATATACATACATATATATATATATTTTTTTTTTTAAAAAAAAAAATAAGATAAAATAAAAAGAAGTTGGATATGTATAGTGTTACCATCATTTGTTTTTAATAAAATACTTCAATGAACCCTGAAAAGAAAAAATTAATGTAAATTTTTTTTTTTTTACAAGTTCAACTAATAAAAAAAATTTTTTTTTTTTCTTACTCCGGAAGTACTTGGCAACATCTCTTGCCAAGAAAGTATTTAAACATCCTGAATTTCAATCATTCCTTTGAAATTATTTATTCATCATTATTTTATCATCCTAAAATTTCTCACCCTTTTTTTTGCTGCGAATTTTCTTGCAATTATAATTAGTCACGCATCTGAATCAAGGGGAAAAAAAAATTAAAAATTAAAATAAAAAAATAAACATGATTCAAGAAACAATAACACATCAAGACGGTACTGCAAATAACACTCAATCTTCACAACTTTCTCAAAAGAAACTTATTTTTGGAAACGTTTTAAAATTTAAAATGAATAGCATTCGAAGGAAAAATGACAAACTTAAATATCAATTAGAAGAATGTAATAATAAATGTTCTAATTCTTCTCTTTGTAGCGATACTCTTGAAGAGGATCAAAATTCACAATTAGAAGTTGCAAGTTCATCAACAAAAACTTTAACATCATCTTCAACTTCGGTTTCATCATCTTCGGAAATTCCTTTACCAGTTATTAACGAATCTCAGCCTGTTGTCTCAACATCAGTGATTTCATTTTCTGATAGAGGTTCGATAAAGCCGGAATCAACGGCTAATTCTTCGACTAAATCTGCTTCCTTATTTAGTCATTTTCCCTGGAATTATAGTTCCATTTTGAAACATAAATCTTCGACGACTTCTGACGCTTCAACGACGATAAATAATAGCGTTGATAATAGTCAAGAAATTCTTGTTCATCAAGAAAATCCTGTAGATTCTACCAAAAAGAAGAAGAAATTGTTTAGTTTTTCTAAACGTGAGCCCGAACCTATTAAAAACTGGAATATTAAAAATAATAATTATTCAAATTCTACAGTAAGTACTAGTATCGAAAGTTCGGATATGGATCAAAATGATTCTGCTTATGAAACGGAAACAGATAGTTATTGTTGTATGAAGAAAAAAGAGAAGAAAGGGAAGAAAAAGAGCTCAAAATCAATCAAGACAATCAAGACAATTAGAAGGACGAAATTGAAAACACTTTCTCCAAAAGATGAAGAATATATCGAGATTAAAAAACTCTTTCAAGCTGGTTTACCAAATAAAAATATCCTTGGTATAATACGTTTACAAATGCCAACAAGACTTATTAAAGCTCACGAACAGTTTAAAAGAGAGTTGGCTCAAAACAACATTACATCAGAATCTCAGATTTGTCATAGAATGTTTCACGGTACTAAGACCGCATTTATATGTAAACCTCAACATTTTATCAATAATAAATGTGCTTTATTTTGTAAAATTGGTTGTGGAGTTTGTGGTATCGTTCAAGAAGGCAATAAAACAAAATATTCTCGTTATAATCAGAGTAAGTATATTCATTTTGTTTATTTGATTTTAAAATGTACATTTTTTTTTTTAAAAAAAAAAAAATTTCTTACACTTTTTTTAGGAATGTGGTTCGCGAATAATTCAGCCACATCGCTAAGTTATTGTAGCAGTAATAACGTAAAAGCTATGTTTGTAGTTGATGTGGTATCCACTTCGCCAAACTCAATATTGATAATTGAGAAAGATGAGGTATGTTGAGATTATGAGCTTATGAACTTAATGAATTATATTAACCGATAAATATCTTCTTAGGCCACAATCCCAAGGTATCTTATTGTCTTCCAATGAATAATCTCGCAGGCACAATTTGATTAGTTATAATTAATTGAGAAAAAAATGCTTGACGCATTTTTTGATCTTTTCATCCTATTTCAATATTTCTCCTTTAAAATACTTCTTTCACTTTTAAATTATTTTTTCATTCCTAAATCTCCCCCTTCCGGTTGAACTATGTATATATCTTGCTTATTCAACTATACATTATATATGTGATGTATGTATGTTATATATATATATATTGTATATTATCAGGTTTTCTTTTTGTATTAATAAATACTTATTTTGAGGTCTAATAATGTTTATAGGAACTAGCATTCATTCATTTTATGTAAAATTAATCAAGTTTTTAATAAATTATCTATGAAATAATTGGCACGAATATTTTCCATTTTAAATAAAATTTCTCCTATGATTAATTCACAGGAAGATTGGAAGCTACTGGAAACCATTCCAACCTCCCAACCTCAATAGAATTCCTATTTGATACCATAGATTACATATACATATATATGTAACTGACATAATATGGATACAAAAAATTATTGGAATATCGGAAAGGATTGGAATTGGAAAGATCGTAAGGTCCAATTCCAATAAAAAGTCATTGGAAGTTTCCAATGTACATCACTGAGTATATTCTAAATTCTGAATTTTTGAGTAGTTGAGTAGTAGTTGAGTAGTATGAAAAAAGATGTCATTACATTCAACGTGTGTATGAATGAACCTTCGACCAGTATATATATATAATTCACGGACTTAGTTCATAGTATAATTTACTTCAATTAATGAAATTATATTTCTAAATAAAATATTGTCGATAATCACATTTCAAGAATGGACTTATTGGTTACTGATCAGCTTAAATAAAGGCGTGCTCAACTAAAAAAAGTTTAATTCATGCTTACATAAGTAATTTACCAATCAAACCCAAATCATATGATAAACAACTGTTGACATTTGAATGTGATCCCGTTTAAAAAAAAGGGGGGAGAAAATCTAGATTGTCAAAAAAAATCAAATGAAAATCATTATCCATATTTAGAATTTGAACGCGTTAAATTATCCAAATCATGAAAATGATTGGTTAATTATTTAATATTATTATTCTTCTTTAAACAATACTTGGCAATTTTTTTTTGTATGAATCTCGCTAATCATTTGCACATTATTCACATTATCCCCAATTGGTGATTTACAATCAAAAATTCGTGATTAACTTTAAGCATTATTAACGTGGCTGCATGTGTGTTTCATTTTACAAATTTTTTAATTTGTTTTTTTTTACATAAATTAAGAATTAAAAATTGATCAATGTCACAAATTACACAATTTTCACTTATTTGTGAGTATAAATATCGTTAGAGTTATCACTTGTAAGACTATAATGATTACCTTTATGATTACTTAAGAGGGTTTGATTATCGTAAAAATAATAAATTTCAATCTTTTTTTTATCAACTTTTATATGTAGGGAAAAAAGAATCGCAAAAATGGCAATACCAATGATATGCTCATATCAAGTGATAAAAATACATATAAAAAGTCCAAAGATTTACGTTATTTCTTTTCTTTAGGCATATCCCTCTCAAATAAATAAATAGTGTCAGTTCTTTTGTCAATTTTTTTTTTTTAAAAAAATATATTTTAACGACAAAATTAACGACAAAATTCGTACATAATGGTTTATTTATTCGATGTTCCCGCTTATTTCATTCTCTTAAGAGAAACTCTTGAGGCTACAATTATTCTTGCAGTTCTCTTAGGGTTCATCGATAAATTGGTTCTTGACGATGAATCAGTACGAAAGAAACTTAAAAGACAAATTTGGTATGGAACTGCTGCTGGTTTAGGAGTTTCTTTATTAATTGGTGCTATCTTTATTGGCATATTTTATACTATCAAAAGAAATCTCTGGGAAGAAAGTGAAGCCGCGTGGGGTAAGTAATATCATTTATGTTTAATACTAATTCTTTGGATTTTTTTTTTTAATTTCATTCTCTCTTTAAAAATAGAGGGATCGTTCTGTCTTATTGCCTCAATTGTTATTACCTTTATGGCATTAAGTATGCTAAGAGTCAATCAATGGAGAGCTAAATGGGAAAACAAATTAAAAGAAGCCACTGAAAATTATCTTCAAAAACATGAACGAGGAAATAAATGGGCCTTGATCATTTTACCATTCACTGTTGTATGTCGTGAAGGCGTCGAAACATTCGTGTTCATGGCCGGAGTAAGTATTGTTTGACCCCATCCCTCTTTATCTTACAAGCAACCAAGTGTGACGATTTAGATCTACGCGCGCATCATCTGATTTCCTTATATATATATCTTCTAACTAATAGATCGGTTTCCAAAACCCAGCAACTGGACTTCCAATTCCTATCATTTTGGGAATTTTTACCGGATTCTTAATTGGGTTTGTAATTTACAAAGGATCGCATAGGATGTCAATGGCTGTGTTTTTCAACATTACAACAGTATTTCTTTTATTCGTTGCCGCTGGTCTTTTCTCCACTTCAATTCATGAATTACAAGAAGCAACAGAAACTTATGAACAAGTTTTATGGCAATTAGATTGTTGTGATAACAAAAATCGTTTCTGGTCACTTATGTCGACAATATTCGGATGGAGAAATAAAGCTACCGTTGGAACAACAGTTGGTTATTTTATATATTGGATTTTCGTCGTACTTGTAGCCATGTTCATGTTGTATAGAGAAAAGAGAAAACATAACGATCAATCTAATAATGTTGAAAAAAATGAAAGAGATGAAAGAAATGAAAAGGATGATCAAGCTGCTATTGTGAATGCAGCTTAATTTATTTATTTAAAAATGAAATTATGACGACTTCTTTAATTAATTATGAACGGCGCTAATATTTCGAATTTTAAAAAAAACCAAATTTCAAAATTTTCCCTTTTATTAATCCACATACTTATTTGCATTATTTATACCTAATTTTTTTTTCTAACCCTTGTATATTATAATGACCTTCAGCATGTAAAAAGCCTTACACGATACATAATAATTTTTCATACATTGTATAACAATTTGACTAATTCTAAAAAAAACCCCTTTATGCATAAAAAAATAATCTTAATATTTTTTTGCTAGCTGTCAAATAACCTTTGACTTAGCATTTATGAAAAAGATATATTTATATCTGTACTTTAGTTTGTTAGCTATAAATTGAATTTACGGAAAAAATCAAAATAAAAGATGTGATTGATTCCTCTTTTTCTTTTTTCCTTTAATTTATTATGTGTTGTATATTTGTACATGTAAAAAAATATTTATCTAAAATGTTTAAAATTCTTCACAGTTCACCCCATAGTCCCATACATTAATTATGCAAATCGGATCGGAAATTCAGTTTACGCGTCTGTGTTACGTAATAAATTACGTCATACGTAATTTTCAACCGAAAAATCTAGTTGTTTCGGAGATCTTACCTAATGTGAATAGAATATAGAATTTGTAATCACAAAGTAAAATATAAATACTGTATGTGAATATGTGAAATGCGGAAAAAGAAACAACTTTGTCTTTTAATTTTTTTAAAAAAATTACATAGAAAGTATATTAATTTAAGTACTATTTATTATTAACAATAATAAAATGTCTGAAGATACAAGTAAGTTTTATTTATAAAAAAAAAATTCATTTCTAATGAATCAAAATGAACTTATAATATTTATATATAAATTTTTTTTTTCCTTTAAACCAGTCTCATTTCAAGTAAATTTCAAAGGAAATATAATACCGGTGGAATCATGGTCTCTTGATAATACGATACATGAATTAAAAGAATATCTTGTGGAAAGTACTGGTGTACCCTTAGAATTTCAAAAATTATTATACAAAAGTAAGGATTTTTTTAAAATAATAGTGTAAAAAAAAGAAATTTATTTATATTTTATTTATTTAAAATATTTTTTATTTTATTGTTTTTTTTTCATGTTTAGGTGTTTTAAAAGATGGGAAAACGTTTAGAGAATGTAATTTTAAATCCGGAATTAAAGTAACATTGATGGGAAGTTCACAAGAAGAAATTCAAGTTGTAAAAAAGGCTGATTCTAAGATTATACATCAACTTTCCAACAAATCGAGATCGAAATATGCAATAAATGTAATTATATTATAAATTATTATTGTCAAATTTTCTAATTAACGAATATTTTATTAATGAATATTTTTTTTTATCTTAGCCATATAAAGATGTAAATAGAGTTGAAGATTTATCAGGACATGATTATACGTTTCATAGGATAGAAGTAATAGAAAATTTTCCTGAACCTGAAAAAGCACGTAATATATTAGAAAGATTAAGGGATGATAAAGGAATTAGAGCGATAATGAAGAAACATAAATGGAATGTTGGTACTTTACAAGAATTATCACCATCAGAAAGAACAATATTAGGTTTTAATAGAAATTATGGACAATTAATATCATTAAGATTACGTACAAATGATATGGAAGGATTTAGACATTATCCTGAAATTAGGAAAGTTTTATTACATGAATTAACTCACAATGTTTGGGGTGAACATGATGATAATTTTCATCGTTTAAACAGACAACTTAACAAGGAAGTTGGTAAGTATCATTCAATAATTTATTTTAATCTTATAAAAAAAATATTATATCAAACTAAATAATAATAATAATTTTTTTTTTAGTTAATTTGGATTGGACGGCATCAGGAGGTAATAAAATATCAAATGGTGAATTTTATAACCCTCCAGAAGAAGAAAAAGTCGATGAGAAAGCATGGCAAGGTGGATCTTTTATACTTGGTGGAAGTTCAGATCGTTCTAAGACATTGTCGAAACGTGAACTTTTAGCTGAAGCTGCTTTAATTCGTCTAACAAAGGAAGAGGAAGAATTAAATGAAGGATGTGGTTCCGGAAAATTATAGAAATCCAATTTTATACTAATAATATTTAAAATATAGTAATATAATAATTATTAATAATTTATATATATTGATTTATTGTAACTATTTTTGGCATTTTTTTTTTTCCTCGAAATTATATAAGGTATATTAATTAAAAATGAAATTATTAATTTATAGTATTAATTAAATTAAAATCGTTTTCAACAAAACATAATAGTTTTTTTAAACCAAATTATAAGGAAATTATTTATGATGAATATATTTAAACTGTCGTTCAAAGAAAATAAACCTTTAGCTTATAGAAAATTATTTGTAATTATTATAATCTTGAGATAAATATCGTAAATGTTTAATTACATTTCGGCAGGGAGCATTAAAAAAGTATTTTGTTATTAATAATTATTATTAGATTTAGTGTCACATGTCACATATCTTCTGTTCAGAGAACTTCCTTGCATCATAGTTTCTCCGGAAAATTTCAGAATATTTACACGTAATAAATCAGGTATCATTACTTATCAGTAAGTTATAATAACAAAATTAACATCTTTTAAAACTATGCTATTCCATAAATAACTAAATAAAAAAAAACATTTATGCGTAGATATGTAATAATATGTAGGAACACTCATTGTTTAAAATAAATATATATATATATATATTAGTTCAAGATTCTCAAACAAAATAATAAATATGCAAATCAAAAATTCGGCCGAATAGTTCCAGTATTAGTACCTGACTGCCCGTTTAGATAATGCATGCAAGCCCATGCATACAAAAAAAAATTTTATTAGATATATATATATTTTAATGTATATCTTATACAGTTATACTAATATCCATTTTTATATAAACTATATAAACTATAGTATTTATTTAATGATAAATACTTTTTATTTAATATATATGATATACAGTATACTCATACATTAATATATACATATAATAATTTTTGTATAATTTTAATGTTATTTTTGATTTTTTTTTTTGATTTGAAACTTTTCATAAACCCAATCACTTCACATTAGTGAAGTGTTTATGTCAAAAGTTTTACTAAATAATCTTTTGTTCGCTCATCCTCCTTATATATTCCCATAATCATTCATAATCATTCTCCAAGCAAACAGCACGTCTTTCATGATTAACCCGACCTTCTTTCCTCAGCTACCAAAATTTAAAAAAAAAATTGAGATTTCTAATCTTTAAAACGACTTCAAGTTTTCGGTGTTACAAAATATAATGAATGGTATATTAACTTAAAGGAGAGTGTGTGGTGTAAAAATAATAGTGATTAATGGAAGTGGAAATGTTAATGAAGGAAAGAAAAAAATCGCTAGATAAACAAGGTAAAGGAAAAAGGATAAACCAGCGGAAAATAAACCCATCACAGAAATATATAAAAATTTTGTTTGTGTAATGATGAGTTTCTTCCAAGAAAAATTACACCCCCATAAAATTATCTACAAGAAATCTCCAGAACTATATATGATAAATACAATAAAGTAAAATAAAAATGTCCTAAATTTTTTGTTATATTTCCGAAGATACTTGTAATGTATGTTATCGACGAAATTTTTATAGTTAAAGTATTATGCATCTCACATTGTTTGAATCATGTGGCGCGCCTTTGGGTCTTGCGTGAATGCTCACACGAGCAGATTGTTCAAAAGCCTCTCGCACACCTGATAATAAAGAACTATTATTATTTTTTTTTTCAAAATATATATATATATCTTTTGACATAATAAATTACCAAATTACCTACCTCTATTATGTTTTGCAGAACATTCCAAATATCTGGAAGCATTTATATTTTGAGCCACGGCTAGCCCCTATACATTCAAAAAAAAAGCCATAAGTAAAAATAAATAAACAAACAACTCTCCGTATTTATAAATTACCTCTTCATAAGAAACCGGTCTCTCTCCATATCGTTGCATATTTCTTACGACATTAATATCCTCCCTTAAATCACATTTTAAGGCAACCAAGACAATTTTGACACCTTGACAATGTTCAGAAATTTCTGCAATCCATTTTGATTCAATATTCTCAAGTGAGTCTCGGTTATCTACTGCAAAACACAACATGACAACATGTGTATCAGCATATGATAAAGAACGTAGACGGTCAAACTCTTCTTGTCCTATATTAAAATTCGAAACTTACATTCTAAATAATCTATTGTTAATTATCAATAATAATGAGTAATTTTAATTTACCGGCTGTATCCCAAAGGGACAATTCAATTTGCTGGTTGTCTATCCATATATCATGTACATAATTTTCGAATACTGTTGGTTCATATATCTAATAAAAGCAAAAAGAAGGAAATAAAATATTAAAAAACTATTTGAATACTTTCGAAGAAAAGTAGTGTTTAAAAACAGTCGAAAGAGGAGTCTTTAACATACCTGTGGAAAATAACCTCTTGTAAATACATTTAAAAGAGAAGTTTTACCACAAGCACCGTCACCCAATACCACTAATTTACGGTGTAGAGGTTTATTTTTACCGAAAAGTGGATTACAAGGCATTGTAGATTTTTAAGTTTTCTTTTATTATATGAGAATTAGGAAATTTTTACGAGAGTGTGAGTTTTAGATCGCTGGTTTAAGGAGGTTTTTTTTTAAAAAAAAAAAAAATATCAGCGCAAATGACGGACTTTTATGTCAAAATGTACAAACTATATATATATATATTAATAGGGTGTGACTTCAACTCGGAGTTGGAATCCGATTATCTGGACTCATTCTATTTATCAATAAGGGAATTTTTTAGGCGATAGTGTGATAGATAGATTTCAAGTGGTAATAGAGTGGCTTGATAGCAGGTAAATAATTCATTGTTCTTTTTACTTCTGATACATTATAAAGAAGTTGACAAGCCATTGTTATAGTTCGTGCCACACCATATTTATTTATTGCAAGGCAATTCTCTTCACGTGCATATTTTTCTTGAGAAAATATTGTATGTAAAAGAAGTAAAGGTGTACGAAAAGACGAAAATTGCATTAAAGCTTTACCATAGATGATCAATTTGCATATTTTACACGAAACATATTGCCGAAAAATACTTTGAAACTTAATTTACAAAAAAAAGTTTCTATATATGGAAATTTTTAATGAATGTAGATTATAAGTTGAGAAACCTAAATTAATTTGAATATACTACTAGTGTATTATTGATCATGCTGTGACTGCAGTTTTAATAATTCTTTCCGATCACTTTCTGTGATAAAAAAAAATCGCGAATTTTGTAAAATTTAAATCATAATTTAGCCTTCAAGGCCCCAACAAATTGTTTAGTATTAAATGTATAATGATTCCATAATTAAGGAAACTATGACGTCTTATCTCCACTAGTAACATATAATTTACTATATTAATCAAGTTTTATTTCCATAAACTTTTTTGGCTTCATATCATTAACCAATAAATATCGATTGTAAAGCTTTAGGTCTTTATCAACTTACTAGCTTAAACTTAAGCGTTCTTACCATATATATTTGTATTTTGTTTTTTAGCAATTATAAAACCTATGTATAAACTTATAGATAATAAAATTATTATTTTAATTAAAGTAATTTTAAGAAAATAATTTTAAGGTTTCAAAATAATGTAAATTGATAAATAATAATATATAGTAACTATCTTTTATTTATTATAATATATTTACTAAATGATTGGAAGTACAGTATATTAAATTTCTAATTGTTTTTAATACTATTTTAATTAACAATGGAAATTTTTAATACATATATAAATAAACATATATAAATAATATAAAGCTTTAAACTAATTAAGTTGAATTAAATTTTTTCAATAATTTTAATAACTAAGCCTAACTTTCTAATATTCTAAATTTCTATCTCAATAATTTTTTTTAATTCTGCAGGTCCTGTAATAAAAAAACTAACTATTTTGCCAAAGAAAATAGTTAGTAAATAAAATTTCATACTATTAGAATAATTTAGAGAGAAATTTATATTCAAAATATTATAATTTTAATAGTATAATAGAATTAAAAAATTAAAAAGCTTTATAAATTTAATTTATTGCTATAGTATTATAAAGAATTTCGGCTATTTAATATATTTTTTCATCTAATTTATATATATATTATACTTTATAATATATTTTTACAAATATTAGTTAATATATATAATTATAATTCAATATAACAATTCAAAATAAATTAATTTAAGGATTAACTATATTTCTTATTCACTAATCTCTTGACCATTTTTCCAGTAAAAGAACACTAAAGGAAAAGTTTAACTTTTCTCACCTGAGTGATTATAAAGTACTTTTTATCAGTTTATAGATTTAAGAGAATTCTTTTAAGACTAATCCAAGCTAAAAGCTCTTAGTTTTAAAGAAACTACATATTAAAAGTGATTTTATTAAAAAATTTTTTACTTTTGCAAAACTAAAAGTCTTACCATATTTCTGAATTTTATAATAGTTATATATTAGGTAACTAACTGGACATTAAATATTGCATTCATATATGATTTTCTTTTTTTTTTGAAAGCATTACAAAAGTCTTTTTATAAAGTATTAGTTAAAATAGGAATGACTACTTTAAAATAAACTTTTTCTTTATTATTAGTTAATATATGATAAGAAGTAAAAATAAAGGTACTATTTATATTACTTAAATATTATTAATAGTTTTTATTTAATTTGTATATGTAACTTTCTAATTATTAATATTTATTAGATATTAAGTAATTTAAAAAATTATTTTTTTATATTTTTATAATGTAATTTATAATTTAATTTAATTTATTATTTAGTCAAATATTTTATAAAATAATACAATCAATTTTCTTTATAATTATACATTTAGGACAAGTTATATTTAAGATGTATTTATAAGTAATATCCAATCAGTAAAATTATAAATAATAATTTTGGTTAAATATTAAAATTACTGATCAATTTTAATGTAATTATTAAGGTGTGTACTATTTTATATAGTCTACTAATTATAGTAATAAGGTTATAGATTTGATTTTACTAATTATAAAAATTAAAAGAATTTTATTGCAAATATTGCCATTAATAGAGTGAAGGTGTAGGGATTAGTGTATAATATTGAATTGCATTATAATATATTAGTATATATAATTAAAATGCATATTTTAATAAAGAATTGGTATTCTCTACCATTTTTACAAAGGCTTTTTGAAAGTTTATAATTCTATCTAGAGTTAGTGAGTTACTGTTTGCATACTATTTGAATGAGTTCTTATTTAGTAATCATTTTATAATACCACTAAAGTATTTTTTAGATATTAGATAATTCTCATAGATGGTAAAATCATGGATGCAATATTTTTATATTTTTATAGTAGTTTATTTTTTATTAAATTTAAGTTGACTATAATGTTTATAAGCCAAATGCTATATCAAGTTAGATTTAATTTTTTTGTTAAATTTAACATATTGGTAGTAATTTTTGAAGTAAATTAATCCTTTACTAAAATGATTTTGCACCTTTTACATGCTTTTTACCTTAGTAGTTATTTATATAATGGTATAATCATTTGATGTAAATTCACTTACCAGACTATTAGGAAATAATACAACTGTAATTTCAGGATATAGAAATTGTAAGACTATAATGATCTTAAATAAGTTTACACTTTTATAATATAAGTTATAAAAGGATATTTAATATTGTATTATAATTCTCAAGTAGATAATTATATAGCTAGATAAAGTTTTCAAATATAAAAACTTAATTTAACTTTATATAATTATTTAAAAAGAGACTTTTTTAAACCTAATAATTAGTACTATGATATTTTTCTAAATTAATATAGAATTAAGGTATAAAAAAAGTATTTTAGAATGCATTTATAAGGGTAATTTTAAATACTCTTTAATCTTCTATTCTGAATAAATAGTAAAAAAAAAACAATAATTTTATTAATAGTTAATATTTCTAATTATTATTATAAAATTATTACCATTAAATTTCTTTTAATAAAACAATTTTAATGAATCTAAAATTATTAAAATCTGATTACTAAAACCTGTAATAATTGAAATAAAGTCAAAATAAAGTTAAATATTTAATATTATGCAAATTTTACATATTAGGGATATAGAATATTAATTTGATCTTTAAAATTGGATTACTTAGTAATATATAAAATAGAATATTAGTTTAATTTTTAAAATTGGATCTTTTAGTTAATATTAATCTAACTGCTATAAAATTACTATTATTTGATTTCTCTTAATAAAATAATTCTAATGAATTTAAGATCATTAAAATCTGATTACTGGAATCTATAGTAATTATTTAATATTACACAAATTATATATATATAATGCTGATTTGATCTTTAAAATTAGATTTTTCAGTCAATATTAATTTAATTACTATGAAATTACTATTATTTGATTCCTTTTAATAAAACAAATTTGATGAACTAAAAAATATTAAAATTTAATCATTAGATTTTAAATAATTATATTTTAATAAATAATTCTTTATAATTACATGTACAGTCGACCCCCTTTATAGGCACCTCCCATATAAGAACTCCCCTCCTTAAGGTACACATTTTTTAGTCCAGATTTTTTTATATATAAAATACCCCTTTTATAATCACTTTATTAGTTATAAGTACAATCACACCAAACGTCGGTCCCATATTATAGTAAATATATGTAAAATTCCCCCTGCATAAGCACACAAATCACGTGATTTATAAAATAACTGTGCGTTTTATTTTATTATTTTGTTGTTTTACCATGAGGAAAAATTTAAGTTTTTTATTTTTCAAAAATTCGATGGTTTTACATATAAACTTTTACTTAATTATTATATATATATATATATATATAATCACGTTTACTTAAAAATTTATATATGTGTGATTATATATTTAACCCTCCCCATTAGGTACACCTCATTATAATCACACCATTGGATGGTCCCGAGGGGTGTGATTGTAGAGGGGGCTGACTGTATATATAATTTTTAAAAATAGATGTGATAGTAACTATAAACAGTTTGTAACTATGATAAATAATAGATTTTATATATGAAATTTGGAATACTTAATTAAGATAATTATATAAAATAATGTGACTATAATAGAAGTAATTATAAAGAGAATTGACTGTATAATATTTTAATTAAATTTATCTTATACAGTATTTATAATAAATTACCTTTTTATTTGAAAGATAATCCATTGTAGATTTTAAATTTTAAATAAAAAAGAATATTTTAAAGTATAAAAAAAAATTGTCTAATTGTTAATTATTATAATAAGTTTTTAGAATTATTTTGTATATTTATTTATATATAGATAATATTTTTAAAAATTACAATTGATTAAATTGATTAGCTTTTGAATAAAAAAAAATTACTAAAATCTATTAAAAATTAACAGGCTTTTATATATCTAGAAAAATGGCAAATTTACTAAAAATTACTAATAACCTTAAAAAATAATAGTAAAATATAGTAAAATAGGTATTTTTTAATATAAAAAATTTTTTTTTATTTAAAAGATAATCAATTGTAGTTGTTAAAAATGCAAATAAAAATGAAATTTTAAAAGTTATTTATGTTATTATATGCAAATAAATATATAAAATAATCTCGGGGTTGATCACTCTTGGCTCATTGGTTAGTCTGTGAGTCCCCTCGTGAAGCCTGAGTATGGTGAGGTTGCAGGTTCGATTCCACTGATCACGGAAATTAAAAGAATTTTACTGCAGACACTACTACCAATAATGTGAAGGTACAGGGATTAGTGTAGGTTGGACTGCATCATGGTGAATTAGTATGTACTGGTCGGTGGCATATTTCAACAAAGGGTCATGGTGTCCTCCTAGCGTTCCCTATGAGGCCATTGGGAAGCCTATTGTCCTGTTTGGATGGTCACTGCTTGCATACCATCTGGGTGAGCTCTTGTCTTGGTGGTCACTCTACGATACCACTAAGGGTGTGGTAAACTTTATTAAGGGGTTTACTATGCTAGATGGTCCTCATAGATAGTAAAGTCTCAAGTGCAATGTCTTAGCATTAGTTTACCTTCTAATAGGTTTAGGCTGATTGGAGACGTTCGTAGGCTCACAGGTATATAAGGTTCTAAGGTGAGATTCAATTCCTCAGTGAATTTAACGTGCTGGTGGGTGATTCCTGGGTAACTGGGTTGGTTACTTATAATAAAGGGGTGATCCTAGTACCTTTAGCAGCTTACTGTTCTGGTAGTCACTGCTATTACTACTGGGGGATTTACAACTATGGTGGGCTGGTATGGTAATCGCGGCCTGTAGTGGGCTTTGAGTGAGATCATATTAGTAGTCTTAGTATTGCAGTACCTCTAAGCTAACCATCATAGAAGAACTTCTAGATGTCTGCTCCGTTATATCTGCCGTACGTGGGTGGTTACTCACTTCTGACAGGCACTAGTGGGTAGTATAACTGTGTCAGAAACCCTGCTACACTACGATCCATCCTTGTGTGGGTATAAACTTGGGTCGTCTTCCCAGTGTGGTATATAGGGGGTAGGGGGATGAACATCCAGTTACTTCTAAATAATTAGAGTAGGTTGCTTGGTTATCTGTCGCTCAACGGTAGGAGTGCATTACCGCAACTTTAGTTGTAGTGCTCCCTCCATGTAGCTCTGGTGAGCTGGCTATGATGATGTCTCCTAAAACATAAAAAAAATAAAATAAAATAAAATAAAATAATCTCAAAAAGTCAATATATTTTATAATCAGATAATTTTTTTATATCTTAAAAACATTTTTTTTTATTTAAAATATAAAATCTATGAAGGATTAGCTTCAAATAAAAAAAAATTGAGTGATTTTATTGGAAACTTATATATTTTTATGTAATTGAAAATTACTAAGTATTTTTAAAGAAATCTGGTAATTTATAGTAGGCTTGTGTAAAATAAATTGTGGATACCCAATAAAGTTTAGCTAACAATAGAATTTGGAATAAAAATCACTTTGTGGCCGTAATAACTTCAATATTTCTTGAATTAAGTTTTATGCTGGTTGAAGAGAAAGAATTTTTACTAAATAACAATTGTGAATAAATGAGCTTTACAAATTCTTTTAATCTATTTTTTATCATTATAGATCATTGGCTTAATGACCTGCTAAACCCAATTTTATTCCTTTTGAATATCTATTTAAAAGATGTATCATTTGAATTTTTCCACTAAGTTTAATTCTATCTTTTAATTTTCTTTCATAATAATAAGCAATTAAAACATTAACAGTATAACTTGTAATAGTATTTAAACAATCTTAGGGTGTGATATAATAATATACATGAAATAACTAATTGGAAATAACTATTCTAAAGGATCTAAATTCAGTATTATTGATACAAATTTGCAAGTATGCTAAATAGAGTTGAAGATTTATGGATGCATATGTAAAAGCTTTATACCAGATACATGATTTATATTGCGAATTACATGATCTATATTCAGATCGGACATAATCACCGATATGCCCGGTTATACTTTAATAAAAAATCGATTTTTTCTTTTTTTTTTACTACTCTATTTTTATTATCACAAGGATACAAATTTTGAGAGCTATATACAGAAACGATGTAATTATTAATTTAAAAGTTCTAAACTTGTGTTAAAATAAATAATCATTTACGGTTTTATTTTTTACACTTCAAGCTTTTCAAATCAAATAAAGAATTCTTATTAATTAAACTTCCATATCTTTAAGTCTAATTTGAACAGCATTTCTATGAGCTTCTAATTCCTCAACTTCTGCTAGTCTCATTACGGTAGTTCCCAGGTTATGCAATCCTTCTTTAGTTAATTGTTGAGAAGTGATATGTTTTAAGAACGTCAAAGTATTTACACCGGAGTATATTCTCGCATATCCGTATGTAGGTAATGTATGATTTGTACCAGATGCGTAATCTCCACAACTAATGAAATAAATTATATAAGTATATCATATCAAAAAAAAAAGGACTTTAAGTTTATATTAATTCGAACCTCTCAGGAGAATAAGGACCAACAAAAACACTTCCAGCATTCTCAATTTTTTCAAGCAAGCTTTCAGCTTTATCCAGATGCAAAATCAAATGTTCAGGAGCATAATCATTAGAGAATTTTACAGCATCTTCCAAAGTATCTACTTGCAATATAAAACTTTTTGGAATTGATTGACTAACAATATTTACTCTTGGCAATATACTTGCTTGTGCATGAATTTCGTGTTCAATCTTTGCAAGATGTTCAGACGTAAGTGATACAGCAACCAACACTACTTGAGAATCTACTCCATGTTCTGCTTGTGATAATAAATCCGATGCAACGTATGCTGGATTGCTTGTATTATCGGCTATAACCAATAATTCTGAAGGTCCTGCTGGCATATCAATAGATGTCAGAGCAGAACTGTCATTCTAATAAATAAATTTTTAATTAATAACGATGAATATTTCATAGATTATGATAACTACTTACCTGAACGACCATCTTTGCAGCTGTTACGTATTGATTTCCAGGTCCACATATTTTATCTACTTTAGGGACAGATTCAGTGCCATAAGCAAGAGCTGCTACAGCTTGAGAACCACCAGCCAATACAACTTTCGATGCCCCAACTTTATGGGCAACATATAATATTTCTGGTACAGCAGTTCCATCTTTACGTGGTGGACTTGCAAATACAATTTGTTTACAACCTGCAACTTTAGCAGGAATTCCCAACATGAGTGCAGTAGAAGGCAAAATCGCAGTTCCTCCAGGAACATATAATCCAACACGTTCAATTGGACGACTAAATCGAGAACAAACAACTCCTGGCATGGTCTCAACAACTAAAGTGGAACGGTCATATTGCGCATCATGAAATTTATAAATATTATCATAAGCTCGATCAATGGCAAGACGTGTTGATTCATCAAGCGCCATAGCTTCTGGAGGGAAAGGAGCAGAAATTACAGGAGATGCAAGTTTTACACCATCAAATTTTTCTGTGAGTTTAATGAGTGCAGCGTCACCTTTTTTTCTAACATCATCCATAATTGGACGAACTCTAGCCATAATATCATCAGATTTAATAATTGGACGCTGAAGAAGCGATGTCCTTTGCGTAACGTTTATCTCAGATAAATCAAACTTCTGCATTTTAATTGTCTCACTCTTAGTTGATAATGAAGTGGAAACTGGTTTTGTTTGTGATTCTTGTTGCTTATTCTCATTATTTTGTACTGATAATGTCTCATTTGAAGTAACATCCCATTTAGGTTTAGCATTCCCAGGTCTACGAGTAATTATCTTCGAACGCTTATCCAATTGCGATTCAATATCCGTTAAAGGCACTTCATTTGCTATACATTTCACAAGTGCAAAATATATTAAATCAGCAGCTTCCCAAGCAATTTCATCTTTGGTTTTAGCTGAACATAGCTCGTCCGCTTCTTCCATAATCTTTGAATGAAGTAAATCCGGATTTTGGAATAACTTTGCTGTATATGACCCAGGAGGTGCAGATTCTTTTCGATTTTGAAGAGTTTGTTCAAGTGCTGTTAATCCTTTACTATTACCAAAACATGTACGAGTATTCAAGTGACAGAATCCTAAAAGAAATACAGAGATTAAATAATGCTAAATTTGTTATGACTAACTTAAGCTATCTTTTTACCTGGGCCATATTGTTTTACGATAAATCTGAGAGAGTCACCATCACAATCAACTTGAACTTTATTTAGTTTTTGAACTGCTCCTGAAGTAGCACCTTTATGCCACAAACCTCGCTTTCTACTCTGATATATCCCCGTTCTAGTTTTAAGTGCTTCTCGAATACTTTCAGCAGAAGAATATACAATCCCTAATGCCTCACCTCGTTCATCCGAAACAATTGTCGTGAATAACCCATCAGAACGATCAGTTTTCAAAGTGCAGATTAATGATTCTGAAATATTAATCAATCCTTTATCTGTAGGGTCAAGAGTAAGACTTCCAATATCTACAACTAAATCTGCGGAAATTTCTGACAATTGTTGAATTATTTCAATTGAAGGTGAATTATGGTTATCTATAATAATTCCTATTCTTGTTTGGCCTCCAGATGGTAATAAACTTTTTTGTGCCAATTTAGTCAAATTAATTAAATTTTGAATTAAATCTTCGGAAAGAGATTTTGTCGACGAATTTATTGGTAAAGTAATTAAATACGCAGAAACAGATCCTGTTAATTTTTTAATTAATTCCTCAATATCTTTTGATTGATCTAAATTTATACTGATAGCTAATCTATCTGCTGGTATGTAATCAAAATTTAAAGATAATATTTTTGAAGAAGGAATAATAAATTTTTCGGTTCCTTGATCCAATAAACGAATTATACTATCATTATCAATAAATTCTTGTTCTTTAATAGGATTTATCCAATATGAATCTATAGGATGAGTTTCAAGAAATTTTTTTACCAAAGATGAGTCAGCGAGAGTGGGAATATTTAAGATAATATCTCCAAGTAAATTGAGAGATTTGATAAGATCAGTAAAATGAGCATTGGACAATTTTTCTTGTTCAGAAAGATCAATAGTTGGTAAAAACATTTTGAAAAAAAAACAAAAAAAACGAACTTTGTAGATTATCCATCTACAATCAGAGAATATAACAATCATCACGTGATTGTAGCTTATAACTATTATCTGTTACGTATTTATTATTCTTTGATTATAAAACAATTTCTAGATTTTAATAATAACTGATATAACAGACAATGAAATTGGTAAAATTTTATAGATCTATTGTATCGAGAAGAATTTGTTCCGGACGTCAGTCCGATATATTGTATAAATAAGTAACTATCCTCCATAGAATTCTAGACTATTTATCAGCGTCGTAGTCTCTTTTTGAATCTTTCCGCAACAAGATCGTCTGTGGCCATTTCTCTCCTTTGTCCAGTCTTGTGTGAATTTTGATTTGGTTGATCGTTATTTGTTCTTTCATGATCACTCACAGTCGGGCGAGTTCGATAAACTATTCAACACCGAATAAATTAGAAAAGGTAAGGAAACTTTTTCCAATATTTGCAATTGACTTACATCTATTTGTCGCAGAAAAATTTGACCCTTCAAACTTTTTTGTAAGATTCACGAAAAGAGCGAGAATTTAGTAGTATAAACTTTGCGTATTGTATAATAAATGTAACTTACTGTATCTTTCTCATCTTTAGGTTTTTGGTGTCGTTGTTCTAACAACTTGCGCTTTGCTTTTTCTGTCTCTTCAATATTTTTTAGCCGAACACTAAGATAAACAAGTTCAAAATTAGTACAATTTGAAATTATGGACCGTATAAAATAATTTATCTTATACAAACTCTATTCCGAGGTCGACTTCAGGTATAGCAGTTAACATAGTTGTTGATAATTGTACGTTACCCTCTGATATCGGTTTGCTTTCAACCTGAAATAAATAATGAAAAATAATAAATAATATAAATAAAGAACCGTATGAAGTAGAGCTCCTTTGTTAATGTTATATTTTATTATTTTGTTAATGAATTAATATGTTGTCTATCTTATATTGTCTAACTGTATTGGATTATTCGTACGAAAATATCCTTTTTTGCATTTATCGTCAAACGATTAATACATACTCTCAAGTGGTCCGGAGCCTGAAAAAGCTCATCTTGAGGATTCAAAGGCTTTGAAGGTTCTTCATCTTCGTGCTCATTTTTTGCATCTGACTTTTTGCCTCTTCTCTTACGCATTTCTTCCTCTATGTAAGCCATCCTGTTACATACAATTATTTAATAGAACTTTTTTATTTAATGAGATTTTAGAATCAAAAACTTACATATGTTTATCTACATCTAATGCATTGGTTTGTTTGGTGAACGAATCAAGCATAATTTTCTTCTTTTGTACCTCCTCTTCGTCTTCATCATCTCTATAAAATTAGATAATATAAGAATTAAATAATGCAAGAATTAAGAATATCAAATATAAAAAATTGGAATCACGTTTACTTTTCATTTTCTCCAATTTCATCCAACTCGTCTAAATCACTAGCCGCTATTTTATCATCTTTTTTCTTTTTCTTAGCTTTAGTTTCTCCCTTTGATAGTTTTTCTGCGTCGATACCTTGTGGCCTTTTTCGATACTTGCGTAATTCGATGAGTTCTTCAATTGTTTCACTAAAACATTGATCAAACTGAATAAACAAAGAGCAAATAGAAAAAACCAAATAGCAATAATAAAATTAATGTATAAGACTTAAGTATTACCTAATATCTTCTAAATTTTCATCTTTTACGATACTTTTGGGAGTTTTTTGATCTTCAGCGAGTTCTTCGTCACTCAAAGTTTTCGTTTTCTTTCTATAGTTTCGATTTTTGGTAGACATAAGTTTCCGAAAAATATCTCAGATAAAACCTGCGTCGGAATTACACGTGTAAACAAAATTAGTAGATGATGTATTAAATTAATGAAAACGTGGTAATCTCGATTAAAATGTAATACAATCACATAATCATAAATAACTCCGCACTTTTGCTAAAGAACTTTTGGATCATTTATTTAAACTAGTAAATATTCGTTACAATTTAAAAGTTTCTTGGGTTCTTTTTTATAAATTTTTTTTATAAGGAAATAATGAAAGATTTTAAGATATAAAAAAAGAAAATATATTTATTAAATTCTCATATGGCTTCTAGTGCTGACGAGGCCAGAGTTTATTTTTCTAAAATCCACAAAGAAGTATACGAATTGGCGAATTCAGAACAACCAATTTCGAAAAAGACAACTTTCGCACTAAAAGTTATTGAAGAATCTTTGGAGCGATATGGGTATGATTTTAAAATAGAATTCTTAATCAGATAAATTCTTTATTTTCAATTTTTTCACTTTTCAATAGATATATGTTTGATAACATCATATTTTATTTGTACGATAAAGACTTGACGGGGTGAGTCTTTCTTTCAATGGTGGAAAAGACTGTGTTGTATTATTACATTTATTTGCAGCCGTTTATTATAAATTTTACCAAAATTCTGACGAAATACCTAATATCCAAGCTTTATACGTTACACATCCAAATCCTTTCTCTGAAGTTGATGAATTCGTAAAAGAATGTGAAAAACGATATTGTTTAAATATTGTTAAAATAGAAGGCTCAATGAAACCTGCGTTGATAAAATATTTAAAACAAAAACCAAATATTAAAGCTATCTTAGTTGGTACAAGGAGAAATGATCCTCATGGAGGTGATTGTTTTACCAAAAAAAATTGATTTTTTTTTAGAATAAAAAAGAATAACATATTAAAATAATTTTTTTTTAAGGTAAACTGAAAGAATTTACTCCAACCGACGATGGATGGCCATCAATTATGAGAGTTCACCCAATTCTAGATATGCACTACACACAAATATGGGAATTCTTAAGATCGTTAAATGTACCATATTGTGTATTATACGATTTGGGGTAAATTATCCTTTTTCTTTATTGAATATCTTTTCTCGGCTCTAACGTTATTTATCTTTTTTTTATCAATTTAAAGTTACACATCTCTTGGTAGTAAAAATAACACTTATCGAAATCCTGATCTTAAACGATCAGATGGTTATTATGATCCAGCTTGGAAATTAACAGATGAGAGCAGAGAAAGGTGCGGGAGAGAAAATATAAGACAGGAAAAGATGAATCTAATCGAAAAATAGATTATTATAAAATTAATAAATAGATATTTGTTAAACTCATACACTGTTTGTATGGCTATAGATACGTGATATTAAATAGATATAATTTACATAATTTAGATTTATAATCATAAATATACCGGAAATAAATACCGAAATTTTTCTCAATCACGTGAGCAACTTAAATTTAATTCACTAAGTAAAACTCGTGACTAATGTGACTAATGAGACACTCGCGTAGTTACTTTATATATGATTTTCAGTGATATTCGATCATCTGATCTAATTTATCCCCATTTAGCTCTTTTTATAAGGATTGGTTGAAGATCATTATCTGCACATGAAGAAGTTTTGAAAATTTTTTTAAAAAAGTACTTTAAATTGTTAAAATTGTTGTAATAAGAATTTAACCAAAAAAATGGTAATGTGATAAATTATTTATAATCATTAAAGCGAGAAAAGAAGTTATTTTTTGCATTAAGATGAAAGCCAAGAGCGATTTGAGTAGATACAAAATTCGATCGAATCCATACTATATAATCATGTGAATTCATTTTATTGAAAATCTGAAGATCCATTCTGGGTGGATATTCATTCAAATCGTAAAAATTTAATATTTTCTCGAGTCCCCAACTCATATATTGTATAACATTTTTTTATACATCACTGAATAAAGTAAACGAATAAATAAAAATAAGCTATGTTATTCAATTTGTAAAAAATAACTTACTTCAACTATGCATAATTATAAATAAATTGTCATTGTTTCAAATAAAGTTAATCTCGTGTTTAATAAAACATTTCCAGATGGGGAAATTACAAATAAAGACTACCGAAATACGGGATCAATATTCATTTTATTCTTAATCTATTAATTTGTACAACAAGTACAATAAAAAATCTTGCCATTTTGAACTCCGTAGTTTGATTTAAAGGGTATTCATATCAGAAAATATAAACAACTATCTATTTTAGTTTTTTTATAAATTGCATCTTTTTTTAAAAAAAAGGTTTCTTTTTCTTTGTTATATTTGCTTTTTGTTTTATTTCATGCTTTAGAAAGATGAGATTTGAAAAACGTATCCAAACCGAAGTTGTTCCAGAGTGGAGGATAAAGTAAATTTTCTTATTCATTTATTTTAGTTCTTTTAATAATATTGATCGCAATGAACTATGCTTACTCATCGCTTACCTCTTCTAGATATATCGATTATAAAGGATTGAAAAAGAAGCTCCGAAATGTACAACGGGAAAAATTAGCAAGAGACAAAGAATTTATGCAAAATAATGATCCAAGCATATACAGCCGTGATAGTCGACCTCAGAGCCCACATCTGGAAGAAATTCCATCCTCATTTAATGATAAGGGAATCTCCGTTCAATCTCAGAGAACATTCAGTATGAATAGTGTAGCTGATAGTGTACAAGACTTCTTTCATAAAGTTTCTTCTGCTTTAGTTACACTACAAAGGCACCAAAGCTTATCTAGTAATAATAGTATGTATGTATTATTCAAATTATTATGCATTAGAGATACTTTATAATCATGTAATTGTTTTTTCACAGAACCACGACCATCTAAAATAACGTCACTGGAAACGTTAATGGACCAGGTTGACCCCAAAGAACGTTTGTTTTTTACAGCTCTAGATGGAGAATTGGAAAAGATCGAACATTTTTATAAACGTAACATAGTTAAATTATTAATCTAAAATATGTTTCACCTACATTTGTTGATTATTTTCTGTTTATTCTTTTTTAGTTCAAGAAATCAAAGCAACTAATCGTATGAACTTGTTAGTACAACAGTATGAAAAGTTAAAAGAAAAGGGCGATGAAAGAAAACATTCCGTAAGGATTTGGCACAATATTAAGCATTTGCTGCGGATAATTCGTATCTTATTTATATCATATATTTTTACTTTTTTTTAATTTTTTTAATATTAATTAGTTTGAAGTCTGGAATACGCCCAAAGCTTTTGTTAAACAAAGCATCGATTTTTTTACATCATCAAACATACCAGGTTCCGTAACTACAATCAGCTTAGATGCCGATGAACGGCGGGTACATTATAAAATTGCCAAAAAGAATATAAAAAAGGCTGTATTTGAATTCTACAGAGGGGCCGATTTATTGAAAAAGTATAGGGTTTTAAATTACAATGGTTTTTCTAAAATATTAAAAAAATACGACAAGGTAAAAAAAACTTTTTTATTGCTTTAAATAAATTTATTGTAGCTCATAAAATCTTATGCGTATATAGATATCAGAGCGAAATGGAAGCCAAATATACATGCAAAAAGTGACGAATGCTTATTTTGTTAAATCTGACGTTATAAAAAAACTTCTTAAAGATACTGAAGATTTTTATGTAGAAAACTTTGAAGGTGGCTCTCGTTCTCAAGCACTACAAAAATTGCGGATGCCAAATAAAGAAAATAAAGTAAAAGTCGTTTCCAAATTATCGTTTGTCAATTTGGAATTATGAATGATTATTAATGATTTGAAAATTATAGACATATTATTATTCCATTTTGCGTATCGGACTATATTTAGGTCTGTCATTATCTGCTCTAGTCCGTGCGCTTGTGGAGATGAGGGAAATATTGGAGAATGAAGAGAAAAATACCATTTGGCCGAAATTAATAGAACTTTACTCCGGATTTTTTTTAGCAATAGTTTTTTTACTTTTACTTGGTGTTAATATGTATATATGGACAATGTCACATATAAATTACAAATTTATTTTCGAATTTGACACGAGATCTAATTTGGATTTTAGACAATATCTTGAGGTTTGAATTTACAGAAAATTTAATACACATCTCATAATATAAATTAATATTTTCTCTATCTCCCGTACTCCATATAGATTCCATCTATTATTTTTTTGGTTATGTGTTATGTCATGTTATTTAATTTTCAATATAAACCTTCTGATCAGCTTATATCTCCTATAATCTTGGTCATTTCTATTGTTGCCATCCTTTTTAATCCTTTCCGTATTCTTTATTATAATGCTAGAAAATGGTTCCTCTTTAGTGTGGTATGAATTAAAATTTTATATTATTTCCTTTTTTTAGTTAAACTAAATATTTTATTATGATTAATTAGACACGTTTACTTGGAAGTGGAATTTTACGTGTAGAATTCAGAGATTTCTTTTTAGCTGATATATTAGTTAGTTTAACATATTCATTGTCCACGTTACGACTTTTTGGATGTATAAACGGTAAGCATTTTACCTTGAAATGATTCGCTCTTTTTGGTTCTTATTCTTACATATATATGTACACAGAAACTGGTTGTTTCGATGTATTGACTCCTCTCCTTGCTTCACTCCCTGCGACGTTCCGTTTACTTCAAACTTCTAAGCGTTGCTTTGACACGCTTCAAGTAAATCATTTTATAAACATTGGTAAATATGGAACAACCATCTTAGCTATTTGGATGTTGTATATATATCGCAATGGTATTTGTTAAGATATTTTTTCTTAAGTTTGTTTTTAACTTTCCGACGATTATTTATAACCTAATTTTTGTAATTGTGTAATTAAAGTACAATCACCCGCTACTAAAGCTTCATGGGCGATCGTGCAATTTATTGCATCCACTTACGCTTTTAGCTGGGATGTAAAAATGGATTGGTCCTTATGCGAACTACATAGCGAGAATTATTTATTAAGAGATGAATTAGGATTCGAGAGTCATTGGGTGTATTACTTTGCCATTATCTCAAATTTCATTTTAAGAATGAGCTGGATTTTATTATTATTTATTGAAATGAATCATGATATATCGAAGATAATTGTGTTTTTAATTGCCTCTGGTGAAATGCTTCGGTAAGTATCCTTATATTCACGCGTTTTTGTAACTTAATAATTGATCTTAACAAACATCGTTTATTTTCAAGCCGATTCCAATGGTGTATTTTCCGTGTCGAAAATGAAGTAAGTTATGAAAATACTGTAAAATATTATTAATTCAATAACTAAAAATTATATATATATATATTTTTAACAGCATGTTAATAATTGCGTTCAATTCCGCGCTATAAAAGAAGTTCCTTTACCATTCCCAATGGAAGAATCCGAAAATGTAGATGTCGTAACTACTGATTATGATCGTGCACCATCACTCGCATCGTGGTCATCATGGTCAAAAAGATTGTTTGCTAAACGAAAATTAAATCCCGCTGATAATTGGAGAGATTTTGAACCAACAAAAAATACATCAGAATACATGTATGTTAATGATATTTACGAAGAAAGTGATGATGATGATGATAGTTATGATGATGAGAACGATTATGACAAATATCGAGAAAGAAATACAATGTCGGTATCTTTAACTAGAATGGAAAGAGGTCTTGGTTTAAGTAACGCCTACGCGAGTAGGAGTTTTCTTCCATCAAACGGGACTAATTCAATCTATTTACATTAGAAAATTCCTTTTAATTTCGACAGAAAAAATTTTTTTCAACTTCTTTAATTATAATTTCTCACAGAGCTTTTTTTTCTTCTTATGTATTGAAGTTAGAATAGTGCAATTAAAAATTTTTTTCATTGCTAATGCGCAGAGCGCATTTGCATAAAAAACGTTTTTTTTATTGGCTTTAAATAAATTACGCCATTCTTTATTCAGATTAGAATGTCATTATTGATATAATCTATAACGAACATTTTATTAACCTGATTTGAAAAAACGTTTTAAACAACTATTAAAATTAGCATATTTCTCTTTGTAACTAAGTAAACTACTACAAATTTTTTTTCAGAAAATATAAAAAAGAATGTAAACTTTCATTTCAGTGAGAAAAGGAAGATGTTGACAGTAATTGAGCTGGATAGAAGTCCAATATCTCTTGGAAAGTATTCTGTGTCTTCAGACAGAATGTCAGTTAGTGAAGGTAGTATAGTATCATAAATGTATAAAGGACTTACGTTCATTTTAACAATTAGATACTTCAAAGTTTTTTATATTCAACTTAGTTTAGGTATTTGTGATGGTGAACGTCCTAATAGTTATTTATAGATTTATTCTAAGTGTTTACATCTCGTGATAGAGTACGTTCTCAAATCGAAGAATATGAACAACATTAATATCAAGATTCTTTGGGTTAAACTCAGAGTTGTGAGAACCAACGAATTCAATTACTTTATCGTGTCGTTTTTTAAGTTTGAATATAAAATATTGAACAATATTCTTTTGTAGGATGGAACGTGTTGATAACAATAGTTTATAAAGATGCTAAGCATCAATACGGTAAATAAAAAATTTATTAATTAAATTTACATATAGCAAATCGTTTATTCAATAAAATTTTCTCGAATCTGTGAAATGTGAATGTTAATAATGTTTCTTTTTATATTAAATAAAGGATATGTTTAATTGCAAATGATACCTATGGCATTAATAACAAGCAATTAAAAAAGCGAATTAGTAGTAGAGGCCTGTGAAAGTCAGCATCTTGCGCAGTATTAAAACCCGGGTCTGAGCCTATAAGTTTTTGCCAAATATTCAATCCAGTCCCAGCCCAATGTAGACCTTTAAATGATACTTCTTGGGCAAAAACTTCACTGTGGCTTTGCATTTTATTATCATCTCGTAATTGAATCAGTGAAATAACTTTAAAAATTCCATATCTATTATCTAGAAGTCCTTCTCGCCGACTCATTATTATTGAACATTAATAGTTGCAATAGTATCAGGTGTAATTATTAACAAAATTTTATGTTTTAAATACTGAAGATCTTTACTGAGAATCTTGATTGGTACTATTCGCATGTTCCATTGTATTTTTTACCACCTTGTTCTTTCCTTCTAGTCTTCCAATAAGAGTTTAGTTGCGATTTTTGTAAATATAAATACTCCCTTATAAGCTGTTTTTGTCAAGTGTGACAAAGTAAATCTCCAAAAAAGGCAAATGTAATTACAATAAATCGGTTGGTGAAAGGAATTTGTGAAACAAAATTACATTATATATTACCGGGATTTACTGCTCTCTTAGAAGAAAATTAATCACTTTTTTTCTGTCTTTGTCTTGTTATTCTGCTTACGTTTATCATTAAATCTAGACTTTAATTTCTTTAATTTTTGAAATTTTGATTGTTATTGTAACAGCTGTTTAATATTTTTTATAAAAAGTTCAATAAATCTACTTCGACCATCTTTTTTTTCCTTCTTTTTTTTTTTATTTAATATGGAACAACAGCATCAACAGTATGTGATGTAAGCTTTTTTTTCTTTTTTGTTTCTTATGCTTAACATGTATAAAAAGTTATAACAGTCTTTATTTCTTCTTGAATAAATAAAATAGATATCCACCGGGTTTCAAGTAAGTAGACATGTAAAGGTTAATTAAGTTATTTCAAGCTTCATTTATTTTAATCGAATTCATAATTATTTTAATTTGTTTTTTAGAGAATATTGGTATCGAGTGTTAAATTCTTATCCACCAGATAGACATGAAGACGCAAAAGAATTTATTAAACAATTAGTGGCACACGTCATAAATAATGGTCAATTGGCAACTTACGATTGGTATACTGCACCAATTCCGGAACTTGCTCCTGTGTAGTTATTTTTATAATACTCTTTTAGCTTTTTTTTTGAAAACAAATAGTTAATTTTTTTTTTATTTTAGGTTTGAAACGGAAGATGTTTTAGAGGATGAGTCTATTGCAACAGATATGACAGGAGACTCTTCCGAAGATCAAGAAAATATTAAGCCAGATATATTGACGCAAGCTGATCAACACAGTCAAATCATATCTATAACATCTCCATTTTCTAATCATTCAATGTCAACTCTTATAGCAGCGGCAGCTTATACTGAACCTTCTCAGATGATTACAGAAAGATCAATTCCTTCTTCATCAAGTTCTTCGTCAAGTTCTTCATCATATGCAAAACGCCGTAGACAAAGAGAACGTAATAGATCATCTAAACACGATAATTCTAATAATGATTTCAATTTTATTTGGAATCCTTCTTTGACTACTATGCAAACTGAATGGATGAAAGAATAAGATGCGTATTGTGGTTATAATTTGTTTTTTTTTTGTTCTTTTATTTTGTTAAGATAGAATTATTAATTAGAATTTAGAATTATTATTAGAAGTATATTTTCATTAAACAGAAATCAAAAATTACAATTCACTTAGCTGAGTGATGTAAATTTTATGATTTTATTATCTTATTTTAATTAAAATATATATACTTAATTTATAAAGCCCCTAATTTTCATTAAATTATTTACACTTTTTTTTAATTATTTATATTAGAAACTACCTTTTATAATTTATTTGTTGTATACTTGTACATATTCACTATAAATTTTTTGAAATTAGAATTCTAGCTGTTTTGTTATCATTTAAAAAAAAATTTTATTTTATTTGAATTAATATAAATGTATATATGTATATATTTGTTAGAATAATAATTATTATATTGGTATTTTATTATTTTTTTAACTGATTATTTTATTTTTTATTTTCTTTTTATTAATAAATGTTAAAGTATAATAAATTTACTTATATTATATAAATGAAATCCTTTATTTTTTTTTATAAATTTATTATATTAATAATTTTTATATATATATAGTTAATATTAATAAGTAAAATTTTAATTTGTTATTAAATTTCATCATATAACTTTTAAGTAGTAGATACATCACTAGAACAACCAATTTATATTACATCTCAGGTAATATTTATGTATTATTATATTATATCCAATTTACAAAGTTTTTCAGTTATTATATTTTTTATTATTATTTATTAAAAATTAATTAATATAAATTTATATAAAATATAATTATAATATTTTTATTATAATAATTATAAAATTAACTACTATAATTTTTCTATATTATTTATATTATTTTAATTACTTTTTTTCAATAGAAATAGAAATTAAATTTTTGTTATTACTTGCCAAATTTATAAATTAATATAAATTTACAAATTATATATATATAGGTTTATAATTTAAAATTCAAATAAATTCTTAAAATATATTTTATAATTTTAAACTATTAGTCTTTTAATAAGTTTAATATATTTATTTTACTAAAAAATATTCAATAAATTCTATTATTATTATTATTTAATAAAGATTTTTAGTTTAAAAATTTTTTAATATTTAATTCTATTAATAAATAAATTATAGATTAAATAAAAAAGCATCCGAAATATTAAAGTATATTATTTTTGTTTAGTTTGAAAATTTTTTTGCATTTTATATTTATGGAAATGACTGATTTATTTCTATTCCAAAATTCTAATATTTAGAATATACAAATATAAAATTCATTATCCATTATCTATATTAATCTATATTATCTATTATTAACAATTATATATATTCATCTCCAATTCTCCATATACGGTATTATTTAAATTATTAGCAAATTAAGTATACTCATTTTCGAAAAGGTGAGTTAAATTTAAATCATTCTATTTCATTCATTTCATTCATTTCACCTTTAAACTAAACGAATCAAATCATTTCATCTTTGGTTCATTTTTTCGATTTCTCCAAGGTTTCACCATCATCTAAACTTTGACGTGATTGCCGATAATTACCATTTTATTCTTAAAGAATTACACAAAAGTGGGGAAGATTTAATACTATTGTTGAAAAATCTTTTTTCAATTCAAGAGATTGTCAACAAACGAACAAATAAGCATATATTACTGAATTAACGGCAACAAGATAAAGGAATAATTATACTATAATATCAATTCTTATAATTCCGCACGCTATATTTCTCGATAAAGGACATTTCGAGTTTATACGTTATAAAATAATAATACAGTACTATAGTTGGGTGCCGAAACTCTTCATATGCCGAAACTTATTGACCATATACTGAAAATAGTTCAGCTTTTAGTTTATATAGTTGCCAAATCTGAAAACCTAAACCCATTGCTAATATCCTAAGCCATTTCCAAAATCCTAATTTTACTGAAAATTTAACCTAAATCTAGATTTAGTAATGGTCTAATAGTTTGGGATTTCGGCAATAGTTTCGGCAATTGCATATGTCGAAATGTTTCGGCACCCAACTATATACAGTACATCTTTTTCCTCAACAACGTGAATGTCAAATCTATTGTAATCTTTTTATAGAGAAAAACCAATATTGCTATAACATTAATTGATAAATTATTTGAAATTCATATTGTGATTACTTTTATTTACATTATTTAACTAATCTAAGATATATTATTCACTAATTAAATTGCTATTAATTATTAATCCCAATCTAGTTAAATATTAATTCAACAGTAAACAATTTAATATCTATCCAACCATACTCCTTTTCCTTCCGCGTAATCGAACTATAAATAATAAGTTTTAATATATTGACCTAATTCAACTAATTATTTATTTAAATTAGTAAATCATATCTCTTACCTTCAGCTAATTTAGATAATATTCCTTGTGAAGCTTTATAATTTTTCTGATAATATTCTAAAATATTAGCAAACTAAAAAAAAAAAGTATTTTTAAGATTTACTTTCTTTTTTCTTATATTTTACTGGGTGACTTACCATTTCTTCAGAATTAGGATGAGTACTTAAAAAAGCTTTTTCAAGTACATATAAATCAACAGCTTTATCTTCCGGCAATGATGATACGTAACTTAGTCCAAAATCAATGATAACCTATAAAAATACAACATAAGCTTGCCATGCGAGGAATAATAATTTCAAATAAAGATTCCTCCTTTATATACCAGGGATTGATTGGATTCTCTTAACATTAAATTAGAGGTTGTTAAATCTCCATGAATGACATCAACTGCATGAACTTTTGCTAAAGCAATTCCAATCTTTTCAGCCAATTCATCTTTAAAATAAGAAAAAAACCCAATAAGTTAGAGACTAAAAACTATATTTATTAATTAAAGCTTACCTTGCTTTTCTTTATTTTGAATATATTCGTTATCTGATATAAGTAAATCTTTAATGATCATCCCTTGTATAAATTCCATACAAATGGTACTATTCTCTGTATTCACGAAATATAATACTGGAGTATCAACTCCTGATTTACGACATTTGAATAAACATCGAGCTTCCTATACAATAAATCATCATAAGATTAAAAAAGAATAAAATTATTTATGAAAAAATCTATTTACCTGAGTTACTCTTCTTGCTGTTAATTTTTTATCGAGTGTAGGATGTCGATAAGTTTTAGAAAATCTTTCTTTAATAATTGCCGTACGTGTTAAAAACGGTGCTGTATATATCCGCTTTTAATATACGATTAAGAAAGATTTAAGAAAATAGTTTTAATAGATAACATATTAGAAAATACAAAAAGATTACTTTACTGCTTCAGCTCCTTGCTTTATCAATATAGCGCTTTCTATCATGTTTAAAGAAATGATTAAAGTTTAGATAGATCGTCGTCATTCCTTATCAGGAGATAACAGTAGCACGTGACTCATACAATAAAGTTTAAGGTAAGGGACTTCTTTTCTTTTTCAAGAAAGCATTTCGTAATATTCTCATATGTCAATGACGTATAAACAACCGTGAGAATTTATTTAAAATCAGAAAAGTAATAGAAAAAAAAGTAATAATAAATTTAACATACATAAACTATTTCTCTTAAACAGATAACATTTACAAGCTCAATAATAGAATAAAAACTCTTTAGACTTAATAATTTAATGGCAAGTTATTGATTTACCCCCAAAATCTATTACACTACTTGAAAAAACAAAGTAACCAATAGCAGCACCAATTATTACACTAATCATCAAGAATCCATTATAAGTCATAAAAACTAACATAAGAAAAAATGATAAAAATACTTGAGATGTATGAATTAACGTACGAACTAATTGTTGTACGTAAGTTATTCTATTAAATTAATAAAATTTTTTAATTTAGAAAGTGATTTTGTTTAAATTATATGCATATATAAATATATACATTCATTTACCTGTTTGCATTACTTTGTGTGGCAACTTCTTCAGAATTAGCATCCCTTCCTTCTTGTAATTGTGAATATGAAACTTGTATTTTTGTATCGTATTTTCTCAATGCAAATCTTAAGAATTCAAAACTAGTTGCGAGAAGAATTATAATGAAACAAGATAAAATAAGAAAACCAATACTATTTACGCGCCACCAAGTAAAAATGATACAAAGTTTTTCTGTATCCCAATTAAAAAGCATCTAACAACGAAATCAAAGTTGGTTAATTAGATTTTTTTAAAAAAAAATGAAATTTACTTATTAAAAATAAAGTACCTGCATATTACATGCATCGCTATCATGACTACCACCATGATCGTAGTTCATTGCTTTTATGATAAATTGTTGATAATTCATTTAAAAAATTTTTTTGAAAAAAAAAAAGATTTCTGAAAAAGAGTTTTTCAAAATCAAACCTTATTAATAATTAACTGTTATTTATAATTTATTGCATTTATAAAAATTTGTCCAAAAAAAATAACTGTGTAATCGTTATTCACAGTTAGTGTGGAAACTTCCATGTCTTACAAAGTTTGATTGCTAAACACAAACATTTCTTACTTCTTAATACATTTGTGTGACATTAAAAAATGTCTAAAATTTTATTCTCTTGTTCGAAACGATAACGGAAAAACGTTAAAATCGTCTCCTTTAAAAAAAAATAGAAGGATGTGGCCAAGTCGAGGTTTGTTACACTTAAAGTAGAAAAAAATTATATCTAAGATGAGTAAAACTTTATCTCATTACATGTTGTACATATCGTAATTGGATTATGTCAACCTCGTAATTTAAATTAATCTTTCCTTGACCCAATTTTACTGCAGGAGCTTTGAAAATTTATTTAAAAAAAATGAAAGCCACGCAAAAAAAAGAAAAAAAAAGTAATTTCTATTTTTTTTATTGACTGAAAAGAGGCTGTGCGAGGTTCTAAGCCGTAAAAAAAAGTTCTGACATTGATTGGCTAAAAGATCAACTATCAACCACCTAAATCTAGTCCATACAAAACAATAGGGGGTATTGTGAATAATACGAGTAATATGTATCCTCGATATCCTCGATAATAACTAAGTAATCCGTTGATTCAGTTATTTTAGTTATTTTACAATAATATCTAATTCTTGATATCGCACAATCTTGTGGTAAACTGGTAATACAAATAAAGATGATCAGATTAAAAAATACACGTAATTTCTCAATATAATTGCAAATCTTATTACGCTAATCCGTAGCCGGATTCATCATTCATTTGCCGGGTTACATATAATATAATATATGTGACAATTAACTAACCTAAACCTCTTACCTATACTAACCAAATCCCTTACTCTAAACCTAAATCTATCCATATCAGCGGATTTGTTTTATCACATGTCATTTGCTATAACAAATTTATTATAGAAATGGGAAAACCCAATTCTCTAATTAATTTACTATGTTCGGCTGACATGTGATGAAACAAATCCGCCGATATGCCCTAACTCTAATTCTAAAGAACCAGTAAAATGAATCTGACTACCATTTTTTTTGGAGGCAATTTTAGGTTCATCTAATCCTAATCCTGGAAATCAAATTCTTGATGACTACAGAAGCAAATGTATCATTCTTGATCCATCATGTGGTACTAACTTGACCTGTCTAATATATTTTACAATAAGGGGAATCAAGATGATACCACCAGAAGGGTCAAGTCTGATACTTTTACATTGATAAAAATCCTGCTAATAAAATCAGTAAAATTTCAAAAAGAAGTTACAAATAAATTTATAATAATATTACCATATAGTAATATAATAATAGGTATTATATTTAACAACCTCTTTTTTGCTATTTAAAAATGTTACAATATCTGATCTAGCCTTTTAGCAAAGATGAAATATATATATATATAAGTAATAATCCTGCAAATTATCAATGCACAAATGCCAATTAAAAATATCTGGCTACTTTAATTTGGCAAAATTATGCAAATCATAACATATTAATATGATGTACTAATTAACACATTATTTAGTATATATAATCATAATAAATATAACTCTAAATCTTATGTTTTTCTAAAACATTTTAAAAATATCCCAAAAACACATGGTGCTATTATTTATAGTTATAATTGTAGACAATTAAATTGCACAATTTCTAAGTAATTAAAATGTAAAAAATTAAAATAATTGTTAATGATATACAATTAACTCCCTATATAGTTACTTTTTATATAATTACATCATATAAAATTCCCCTTTATAAGCCACTATATTTTGGTTTAATGTACTAATAAATATATTATAATTACACTTTTTTTTCAGTTCTGAGAGGTGTAATTATAAAGTGAGTTGACTGTATTTAAATGCTTGTAAAATTTATTTCTTAATACCAAAAAAACAATCAACTTATTCTTTATTTTTAAATTTAATAGCTTAATAAAATTTAAAAGTTTTATTTAAAAACCCAGGATTTTTTTATAAATATTATGAATAAAAGATTAAGAGTTCTATTTTTGCAAACAAAAATATGTGTTTTTTAAGTAGTTTAGTACTAATTTAGTAACAAAAAGCCATTTTTTAAACTTTTAAAATTTCAGAAAATTGAAGAGCATAAAATCAACCAAAAAGAGTTTTTTACTAATTATTAATTATATATATTATATATAATATTTAATATTTAATAATAAAAATTTTTTCAATAACATTAGGAAAAGCAAGACAATATATATAAAACCAATTTATTGGAAAAGAAAATGAAGAGTATATAATAATATAAAAATATACAAATATAATATAACCTTTCTTTTTTTATTTATTTAGAAAGTAATGAAAGCATATAATAAAGCCTTATAATATAATGATTCTCTTTGTTTCGTACAACTACCTTTCATAATATTTATAGCAATTATACCTTATTCTGTTAGTGCAGGTAAAAAAGTATATCTTTTACTTTGAACAAAAACTATTTTTTTAAATACTTTTGAATTTACTTTAGAATAATCATATAAATGCGTTAAAGTACAATCATCTTTTGATGATTCATCTATAAATACCAATTGATTAGTTTTATATTAAATGACTTATAGTTGCAATAAATGCATTTCGTAATAACTTGTTTCTTTCAAAAGCAGCTTTATGCAACTAAATAATGATAAATTGAATTAGTTTACTTCAATATTATATTAGAAAAAATTTAAAGCTTTTACTTTTTTACGAGTAATACCACAATATACCAATGATCTCCATAAAGTTAGAACAAAAACACGTTTACCAGTTCGTATTTGCATTTCTTCATAAAATAGTAATCAACATATTCACGTACAATTTCATGTAATATCTAATATATAATATAGTTATTAGTATGTATTCTATCACAAATAGATAGTATGATTTAGTTCAATTTTACTATCCCAAATCATTCTTACATTCATATCACTACTACTAAAAACCTTTTTTTGTCTTAGTAGATGAAGCCATGAATTTATAACACATTCCCACTTTGCATATATATGAATAACTTTGTTAACTAGTATTTTTCCAATATAAAGTAGTTTTGCTATTTCTTTTTTTTGAATATCCATCACTATATAAGAGAATTACATGTCACTTGAGATCCTCAGTTAAAGTTTTGGTCATTGAAACTACATAAAAAAAGAAAAAAAAATGTAAGGAAATCAATTAGAAAATCTTCATAACTTTATAGTTTGAATACTAGCCTTTATTTGAAAAATACCATACCTGAAAGTTTGTAAACGTCTAGTTTACTGTAAAAACGTTGAAAAATCTACAGGTAATCATAGGAAAGGCCTAGCAAAAAAGTTTTGTTGGAGGTGTTCATAAAAATATAGGGGAAATCAAGAAAATCAAATTAGATTTCCATATGGTTATACAATCAGCTGATCGCACTAATTTGAAAATGGCGATAAATAAAAAAATGTTGCAAAATGTTTTTTTTTTAATATACAGTCAACTCCCTCTATAGTCACTCCCGTTATAGTCACATTCTACTATATAGTCACACCAGTTAAATGTTCAAAACACTTTATTATTAAA